ATGCTCGTCAAGGAACTGCTTTTGTTTGGATTATTTGGATCACCAGTGCCTATAATACCGTTATAAATACCGCATCCTGTACTTGGGCATTGGTTGCAGTTGGGAGTGAAACAACATTTGTAGGTACCCTTGCAAACTCCACCGAGAATAGTGGTATTTAACACTGAGTTACAAAAAGACATTTCACCACCCGTTAACATCACATATGACATAGTGAAATTTGGTGCCGTGCATAATACAGTAATCGTCTAAGAAAAATCGAACAATGTCTTTAGGAATAGATTAAGAAACAAAACAGACCATACACGCTTGACTTCCAATGTATTGCGAGATCGTTTTGCATTCTGGAATTGGAACATCACAATTATTACAACTAAGTCCTTGCTCATGCGATCCTACGTACACGTAATATACATTAAATTTAATGTTGTTCATATATAATCTGGATACTTACTGGCGATCACAATGAAAAGAATAAGGCACGAGACGTAGTTAAATATTGCCATAGTTTACAGAAAACTTAAGTGTTCTTTTATACAATCTAAGAACTAAGATTACGCAAGCACAGTGAGAAAAGAACAATGTTCTAAAAAGAGATTATGAAAGACGAGCATTGTTAATATATTAAAAATACAATTAAATGTACTACCTTAAAAGAATTTTTAATACCTTTTATTACTTACAAAAAGATACAAAGATAGTGTATATGGTGAAAGCTACTGATCCTGATTTGTTCAACAGTGTTTTCTTCAATCGTTAATTTTTCTGTTACTAATAATCTGTCAGTGTCACTTTCTCTATCACAGAAATCGGCCGGATGTGAATTCGATATTAGACACCAATATAACTTCGTGAAAGGATTTCATTAAATAATAAACCAATATCTTTGATATACGTAACTAGGGAAATCTCGACATGTGTTTTCTGAGCCGTATTACAAGAGTAGTAGGGGATTTATGAACGGTTCATTATAGAAAAACATTTTGGTTAAATAAAATCAGATACTGACTAATTTCTTATCTCTACTTTTCCATTGAATCTAAGCTAAGTGCTCTAGTTACTCTCTTCTAACGGCCATCGTACAAAAATAGTGAAACATACCCATTGCGTTTTAACTCATGCATTCCTCACGACGTATAAATACGTCTGAATGAGTTATCGAACAAACATGTTCCTTTTATACTCTTTAATTGTTTGAAAGATCTTTTTATTGTTTGTTAACTGATGTTATACAAGGATATGTGTGACTCCATCCAACTAACGATAAAAAGAGCACTTCAGCGACTAAAGAGTATACCAAGAGCACGTTTTATCGATAATTCATTCCGTATATATAAGTCGCCAAGACTCAAACGGTTAACAAATATTATATGATCTCATTTTTTACAAACCTCTTATACTTTTTCTCTTATTGGAGTAGTAATAAAATTTATTGATATGGTATAACTCATACACAAGTCTCGGTAAATATTGTAAATCTAACGGATAATGTTGTATAAAGTTTTTGGCAAAGTGAAATCACTTGAGGGTATAGGTGCTGGTGTAGGCATCACAAATACAGTGCAGTCGCACCCGTACTCACATTCACACTCGATTCAGCCATTCTTGAAAAGGTCAAAAATCCTATTATTATCATTTCTTATATGAAAATATAATTAAAATCATCGTTAAACTGCACTTTTCTTCATTTTCTATTTTAATTTTGAATTTGACATCAATTAGGATCATTTTTCATTCTGTTCCTATTATTATATCATCAAAATTTTGTGTGACTGAAACTTGGCTCATAATTAGTTCTCTAAACTCATTATTTATCGGCCTATATGAGCACTGGAATCGGATCGGTTGTAAAAAAACAATCGGCCCGTACTGATGGGAGTTTTATGGGTCGAAATTTTGAAAAGCCTTCTTTGTCGATTCTGTTTCTAGCCATAAAAAACTAAAATACCGCATAAATTTCTGGTAGAGTTGGTAAAAAAAGGAACAAAACAGAGGTTATTTAATTATTTGTTGTGAGGTTTACTTTAAAAAGATGGTTTTTGTTGGATGTCTCATACATGTTCTCCGAAACTACATCCACACACAAAAGTCTTTCCTCGCTTCGTTTCTTTGATATCGTATTTTACATAAAATCCATTGCCGAGTAGACATATGGCTTGAGAGTGTTATTCTGATATGATCTGTATACCATACTGAAATAAACCTCTCAAGTCATACCTCCACCCGGTAATACATTTTATACAAAGCTAAAACTCTCAAGTCATATCTCTACTTGGCAATAAACTTTATCCAAATTATGATAGCACAGAAATAAAGAGGGAAGTAAGACTTTTGTCCATGAATGTATCTCATATTTGCATCGATTTTTCTGTCGAAATTATTTTTTGAAAGAATTCTGGATTTCTCGCCGGTGTTTTATCTGTTTCACCGGAATCTGTTCTGTCCACCATTTGATATCAATCGGTCAGTTTACTAATCAGATTGGTTTACCATTTCGCAACCGACTCTCGATACTGATTCATATCATGTCGGAAAAATTGAGTATTCTAAGAAACAAAAGCTGAAGACGATTAAAATACTCAAAAGAAGTCGAAACCTTCAAAATATTTAAGAAGAAAATTAAAAATCAAGAAAAATCAGGAGAAAATCTTTAAAATCTGCTCTTGAATTCAGAATAAATATCATCAGAAGCAAAGTTTTAAAATCAGGAGTTTGGCAATCCTTGTGAGACCCACACCCACATCCGCCCTGATCTATATACAATTGCCATATACTATTAAATTATGATTAATCGTTCACAGAAAGATATATCATATATTTCCAAATGAATATTTTCAAGAGAATTATAGTTTTCTTGACTTCTATTATCTTATCACATCGTGACGGATTTAATAGATTTAAATCATTTAATATTATTTCGAACAGTGAAAAACTTGAAATCTTTATCTACGTGATCTATATAAATTCTAAGATTTCTATATTAATCAACGTCATAAAAATAACAAACTCAATCTTTAGGTTTAAGCTGAAAGAACTGTTGTAGTCGACTAGACAACAATATTAGTTGAAAATTTTCGTCCGAAAAAAAAAGTTATTCCTATAACAAACAATAATAAAAAATTCATATTCCTAATCGTAATCATTAGTGTTCGGATCGTCGATGTAGCCATTCCAAGGTTAAAACTAGATTAGTGGTAAAAGTCAGTTGCCATTGATTAACTATTCATAAAAGAGATTTTACATTGATTATTAAATTTTCAAATATAATATACAGAGAAAGATTTCTATACTATAAAGTGTTATTAATATAATAGTTATACTTATCAATATATGAGTTTCATACTTCTCTAATACATGTTGAACTTTAAATGCTATGCAGAATGTTCACATTGAAGTTTAGATCAAAATCAAAAAAATATTCATATCAAACATTAAAATTCCGCAAATGTTAGTTTTACCTAATCAGATATGAAATAAAATCAAATTGTATAGACTTTTGTGACAAACACACAATTTTTCTACTATTTTTTGGATTGAATAAAATTAGACTCTTCATATCAACATATTACTTATGTACAATAATAAAAAATATGTAAGATGATGAGAAACATTCTGATAAAAGAAGAATGACCTGACGAATAACCTGACGAATAGCTTCTCAATGAATAAAAAAGAATGCTCGATAGAAACAAAAATCTCAATATCTATCAGCAATAGCCTATACTTATAAAATAAATATTTCTTCATTGTTCCGTCGACGATAAATGAGAAAATATTTCTGAATATATATATAAATAAGATTACTGAAATGAATGACTTAAAAATGAATATATCGAATAACAATCAGCTCAATATACTCGATTTACCCAATGAAATTGTTTTCATTATTTTTAACAAAATGAATATGGTTGATGTTCTATATTCACTTGTCGATGTTACTCAACGGTATAATCAATTAATATTTGATCCATTTTATATTCGTAATCTTAATCTGACCTCTATGACAATGAAATCATTTTATGATCGTATTTATTCAATAGACTCTCAAGTTCTTGATAGAATTTGTAAAAATATTTTACCTCGAATTTTTCATCAAATAAATAAACTCATTGTTGAACAATACTCAATGGAACGTGTTCTCTATACGATCAAATATCCTGAACTTTACTCATTAACACTTATGGATTTTTCAGAAGAAGTTCTTTTCAATTATTTAACAAGTAAATTATTTAACTTTTAATATAATACTTAAATCATTAGAAATAGATTAAAATTTATTTTTTTATTTTTTTTATTTATCAATTGAAGGTGATACAATTCTTCGGAAACTTCTCAATGAACAAATTACATGTCTTACAATTGATGTTAAGGATCAGCCTACAGAACCATCTCCTGACACTCTTTCAATTATCTTTGCTTTGATATTATCTTTATGTAAACGATTAATCAAGTTAAGTTTTTGTTAATTAGATGCTCGATCAACTCATTGTACTTTTGATTTATCATCAATCAATGCCAAATCTTCAACATTGACTACATTGAAAATTAATGTAAAAACTTTCGATAATTGTCTTTATCTACTTGATGGACGTTTCAATTGTTTATCGACATTGATTATATATGTAGAAATAATTTCATCTACATCAGGAACTATTGATAACATAGTTAGTATACTTTTCGATTCTCGTCTTTCGAGAAAAAAAAGTCACTTTTATAAATAAATATTCTTTATTTGTTTTTTTCATAGAAAAAACTTCCCAAATTGAAACACTTCTCATTATTAACGTATCGACATATATTTTTATATGATGATCTAATTATTCCATTACTTCAACGAATGATAAATCTTGAAGAATTGATATTATATTTGTCAATAATAAGAAATAATAAGAATTATATTGATGGTAATCAATTATATGATGATATTCTTGTTTTTATGCCACGATTAAACAAATTTATTTTCAATATATACACAAATGTAGACAAGTCGAATGTTGGAACTGTTTTTTCATCAAATGAAGATATTCAACATAGTTTTAGAAGAAAAGAATATGGATTAATTAGTTCATATGTTGAAAATTATACAACAGAAAATATACGTAATTGTCACATCTATTCATTACCATATGAATTCAAAAGTAGATGCCACATCTATTCACTTCCATATCAATTCAAGAATCTTCTTCTTTTAAATAATTCATTTCAAGGTGGCATGTTTGATAATGTTCGATCTCTGGTAATGACAGACTGCTGTCCGTTTGAGCATAACTTCTTCAATGTTATTTCTCAAAGTTTTCCTCTATTGAAACAGTTGTATATCATAAATGAAGAACCGCAAAAGAACAAGCAAGAATCATTACCTCCAGTCAAATTTTCTCATCTTATTCATCTTGGTCTTAACGGTTCTCATACAGATTATGCTGAACAATTTCTTGTTGATAAACGTTGTGATTTACCTTTCTTGTTAAGCCTTCTTATTGACTATGAATCACTCGATCTTGTCACAAACAATTTTACAAATGATGCTACACGTCTCACTTGTAGTAAATTGACCAGTCTTCATCTAAAAAAACCGTTTGTACCTCCAAAAATTTTTTATGAATACTTTCCTTTATTGTAAAAATTATTATTTTTTTGAATTTATGTTAATAAAGGTAAATAGTGCACGAAGATTGAATATATTTTGATCATGTTCATTAAATAAAATAAAATGAATGCAAAAAGATGGAGAAGAAGAAGACAAATGTTATTATTATATTTGAACAAAACAGTTTGATTGTTATGCATTTATTCTTTCAAAAGTAATTGTATTGAAGAAGAATGTTTTAGATAACATATTCATATATCTATCATTGATGGTGTTGTAGTTATTGTTAATCTTTATATAAATAAATTTTGATATGATGCAATATATATTTTATTAAGATCATGGCATAAGATTTCACAGGAGGCTGTGTGTTATGTATAAATTGTATATTAAGATCTATCTTTGTTTTGTTGATCCTACTGAACATTCAAAATGTTTTCAATATTTCATATTTATAAGTTGTATAAAGAAAACAAAATGATTTAGTTTAATTTGTATTTGGGATTTGGGTTAGAGATAGAATAAACAATTGATTAAAGAAACATTACTACATAGTCTTTAGCAATGATTGAATGTTTCTCGGTTATATGTTATTCATTATAAATCTGTTCGTTGGGTGTGGGTGGGTGGGGTGTGGATATTTCTTTGTGTTTTGGTTAAGAAAAGAGACACACAGGTCTACCTACACCCGCACTCACACCCTGAGGAGAGGTAAGCGAACATGTAGATTATTTGTTCGCTATTCTTCACATATATGATCATATCGTATTTTCTTACTTTTCTTCACATATATATCTATATGTTATTTTCATCTTTTCCTTCATATATGATTATATAGGATTTTCTCTTTTTTCTTTCACATATATGTTCGTATGGGATTTTTCCTTTCGTTATCTTCATACGTTCTTTTATTCTTTTAACTTATATTGAATTGTATTATTTCCAAGTGATGAACTAAAGGATATCACTTAAGTATTTTTCCTAGAATAAGTTGTATCACAAGAAATAGAAATAATCAAAGTATTCATTTCTTGTCCTATAAATACTTATGTTTTATTCTTACATAAGCGAACTGTTACTAAACTTCCAAAACGATCATCTTCTTCTACAAGTTATGATAACACTAACATCTATCAAATGTCATAAATATATGTGTTTACTTAAGTACCTCAGACACGAAAAGTTAGTAGAACTGACTTCTGTCTTTGTTTTATGCTTTCAGATATTCAAACAAATAACAATTAATACATTAGTGCTATTAAAAATCATAGAAAATCAGTAAGAATTATGGCTTTTGCAGTGCCAACAACATCAAACTCTTTAAAGGCTGTTGAATGGATGTGGCAATCGAATCCAAATCCTTGGTCAAAAAGTGAACTGGCAACTTGGGGTCATTATTCTGATGTTGAAAATTTAATTATCGAAGAAGCATTCTTCAAGAAACAACAACGAGCTATCTTGGATGGTTATTATATTAATTTCAACAATAATATACAGGTGTCTGACAGCGATAGTTATAAGCAAAGACCTGTAAAAAGAGTGGTACGCAATAGAGAAGACAAACATTTAAGAGAAGCACGGTTTATGAATCTTCCTGTTGCTTCGGATCGCTCATTTGGTGGTCAATATGGTTGGGTATCACCGTTCGTTATAGAAGTTAGAATAGACTTGGGTCTTCAGCCAGATGAACTTCCATCCAAACGACCAGATCTTATATCTATGCTTGTCGAGAAGGCGGCACAAGGTATCATTCAAGAAGGTAAACATATAGGAAAACAACAAGAAGCGGAAAAACTGGCTGATTTACTTCGAGAAAAACAGAACAAAGGAATGGAAGAAGTCTGGAAACGCTGTGCTTATTTATACTCAATGGAAAGCTTCCTGTACAAAAGATTAAATGCAACTATGAGATTAGTTGGAAGCAAAGAAGATGAACAGATTTGGCGAAGTAAAGTTCGAACATTAGGTCCATTCTGTTTGTTGCTATGGGATGATCCATTCAATGAAAGAGTGAAAATGGATATCGAACTGTATCGAGGAGCTAATCTGACACCTGAGCAGATCGCAAAATATGAAGAAATGGACAGGAAACATATCGAATATGGGTCCCTTCAAGCATTCACATCATGCAGTCGCAATCGTCAAAAAGCGGAAAAATTTGGTAATGCACTGTTCATCATGCAAGTAAAGTTTGCTTTTATTGCTGATCTCAGTAAATTATCTGAATATCCTGGTGAAGAAGAAGAACTTATTATGCCAGGTGTTTCTTTTCGTGTCCTATGTATTCGATTTGATGACACGACAAAAAAACATCTGATTTATTTGGATATAAAACAACGTTGGGAGAGTAAGTGAAAAGATCTCTTATAATATTCATTATAATTACATGAACATCTTTTTTGAATATTTTCTTTTCCATTTGATATGTTTTAGTGAGATGAAATAAGTAAACGATGTTTGGACTTCGTTATACCGATATTTGAAAGATCTTCCTTCTGTAATTTGGAATAATCGGTAAAAAGTCACTTTCTACGATAAGTTTCAAACAAAACTGTCATTCTATTGTACATACATTGCCCTACAAGATCGCTTACAAAACAGTGACTATTTTTGAGAACAACAATGCTATAAATATTCACACTTATCTCGAGTAATAAACTGACATTGCTCTCCAGCATTGATTATTCTTCTCTCTCATAATTTTCTCGGGGTTTTGTTCGTGAAGACGAACGAAATTGTACTCATGTTGTCTCAAATAGATCTCAATCAGTAGTTTCAGTAGTATTCACACATAAATTACTATCTCATCACTTGTTCTTTCACAATGAACACTTTAGATCTATAGTTGCTTTCATAAAAGAAAGCTTGATTATTCAGTAACGACTGATTAAATATTATAGATGCGATAAAAGATAAAATATTGTTCAGTACGAGTCTAATTGCAAATGTTACTATACTAGTTTTTATAAATCTCTAGTTATAACACGACGAGTTGAGTCACTTTGGATTGTTTTACAAATAAAAAAATAAAGGTATCACTGAAGACTCTTTAAGACTGACTGTTTCGTCCATAGTTTCGTACAGTATGTAAGACTTAATAGTGATACATAGTATTCTAACTTAGAACGAATACGACCGAGTAATCCTATCTCGTTGAATAATATAAATATAGAAAGTTTGCAAAATTGACAAAATGATCTGATTTGTAATGCTTCTCTAAATTATAAAAGTGATCTATATGGATTGAGAAAAAGGTTTCTGGAATACTTTATCTTTAATAATGATAATGAGGTCGTTCGATGTATCTTGCGTTCACGTGTAACTGTAAATTTTACTCTCAATACTTGAACATACAATAAGGTACTATGAAGAAAGTTTTTATCATAGTAAAAAAGCAAGAATTTATCTTTTCTATTCTAATGTCAAAGACGATCGTAATTTTGAGTATACTTTCGGAGTCGATTATTAGAGTTTGCCTAAAAGTCCCAGGAAAATTTTGAAATACATTATTATTGACTTTAACTAGAAAAAGCTCTTTGGAAGTTTGTTGCATTCGTGCGTCTGTCAGGTGATAACTATATATTAAATTTGAGATCTATACGCTTTTCAACCAATGCAAAACTGTAGAAACACTATTAAAAAGTAATTATTTTCAATATATCGTTTAAGTATATCCGTTCGAATTAGAATAGAAGAACCCAATAGATAGAAATTTAGTGATGAATGAAATTTGCATTGTTTTTCGAGATAATCTAGATTGGAAAATAAACGAAGATAGTGACTTTAACTGCCGTTGAATATATTTTATCGTATGAGTTGAAATAAAACCAAGTGATGTCTGAAGAGTCTTTAGTTTAAAGTATACAGAGTGTTCGAGTTGTATCGAACAAAACAATTACACGAGCGCAGATACATGATTATTGAACATCAAAAACATAAAATTTAAAAGTGGTGAAAAAAATTAGGCTAGACTGTGCTATAGAATGTTTCTCCTTTCGATAAAGTCCTAGTTTTGTGTGAAACTTGGTCATGACTATAGAAAACATTCGAGACCTGCAACATAGTCGCAACACGAGAGTTTCTTTTCATCAATACAGGAAATTGCGCGTCTAAAACGTAAGTGAAAAGGTTCTGTTAAACCACTTGTATTTCAGATCCTATTTATCTTTGAAACATAACTAAAATAAAAACTAGTACTAAACTGAGTGAAACATTTTACATTTGAGTGACAACTACTATATAGGCCAGCAGTAAAACATCGATGTTAGATATTGACAAATAATGATATATACTTAAATAATAGAATATTGTTTCAGTTATTTAAATAAAATCGAGTTTTTTTATCAAAGAGAAAACTATAATCAAAATAATGAAAAAAAAAGACAAACATGTACGATCATCTTCTAGTTTCATATAACCTTTGCTTTAACAGTAAAAATTTGAGAGTTGAGTCATATCTTATAGGTAGCTTAGGTTTGTAAAAATCGTATGTGAAGCATTTACCCCATGGGACTTTTGTTAGGACTACATCGTATTTAAGTAAAATGAGATTTGACTGATCATAGATAGAGTAAACTAGTTTATCAATCATACAAAAGAATATCGTTCAATGAACAGAGAAATATTATTCTGAAGCATATTTTGCCAGTTATAGGTACACAGGTGTGACTGCGAGACAAATATACCATTACAAGCAGTAATCATATCCACGCGAACCGATTTGTCATCCATTCTCACCTTCTAGACTCTCTCGGAACAACCGCTATCGAATATCAAAAAGTTTCTTTTCTGCTAAAAGTTGAACTTATACTATCTCACCTAACGAGAACTAATACCTTATCTTTCTTTAGAGTACTTCCAGCTCACACATCCTATATATATCCACACATTATGCGCATGAACTCAACAAACCACTGTAGGATCTATACCTCCGCATCTCAATTACATCAGATCGACTGCCTTTAGTCAGGGTTCTTGTCCAAAATCACTTAGTGTATATATCAGAAAAAACTAAAGCCTCATATAGGCCGCTTTCATCAGACGACACAGTGATAGGCATTGGGATGCACTACAGTCATCCATAAGAATTTCATAAAAGACTAGGAATTAATACCAAATATAATCTATATTTTCTTTCTAGGCAAGGACAAGCATGTCATCCAAACAGATTCCAACCGCACACTACTCACCGATGCATTTTATGCTGATAAACCTCGTGTTAGAACTGATCGTGCTAGTGCTGATCATCGTAAACGTCTTAATGATCTTTTTCTTGGTAATACTGAAGATGATCTTGCTCGTCATTATTTTATTGATCGTGATTATGCTGATCGTCGTGAACATTTTAATAGTCTTTTTCTTCGTATTACTAACGCTAATCTTGCTCGTCATTATTTGTTTGATCGTGATTATGCTGATCGTAATTATGCTGATCGTAATTATGCTGATCGTGATTATGCTGATCGTCGTCAACGTCTTAATGATCTTTTTTTTAGTAATACTGAAGATGATCTTGGTCGCCGTTATGTTTTTGATCGTGATGGGCAGTGGATTGAAAAAGACTGAAGAGTGTTTTGAGAGTGTGCTGTGGGTGGGTGTGGATATTTTTTTTATAATTTCACACACCTAAACTCATCACTATTTATATTTATAAGATTGATTGAAGTATTAAGTTTAATAAATTTCTTTATCATCGATTATTCAATTGAAATATTTTGAAGAATAATGAATATGATTTTGAACTAATAGCACACTTGAAAACTCACATTCATTCATTATATAGTACATATTATACATTTCATCGATTAGAATTTTCGAATAATTCAAAATGAAGCAAAAATTTCTTTTCTTGTGTTTCAATAAAGCATTATCAAAACAGCATATGACAATCTTTTTTTTCCGCAAAAATAACAATGAAAATACATGTAACGAATACAACGAATATGAAAAAAAAAGCACTGTATTCATCCATCATCGCTGTTAGATTGAGAAAAATAGTATTTGCGTTTTTCAATATAAGTATGTGTACGTAAAAAAAAATAGTCAAATACACGAAAGAATCATACTAATGTTTATAATTCGTGTTATGAAGAAAAGAAAAACAAAGACAAATATTTTTATAAAAAAAAACTCATTTCCGATTTTGAAATGAAGTATTCGCTGAACCACCAAAGTTGAAATTAGTTGGTTGTGTAGCAAATGCTGATTGAGAAAAATTATAACCACCAGCTTCACGAATCTTATTTGATTCTAGAATAACAATTGATAAAGACTTATTTTTTCATATTTTGTCTTTCACCTTTTTCTTGCTTTCGTTTTTCTGTATAATGAATTATATTCTGAATTTGTTTTCGTTGTTCATCTGTAAGATTTTGTAATAAAGCTTGATTATAACCAGTTGTATCCGATTGAAGTTCTTTAAAAAGAAAAATAATAGAAAAAAGAGTTTTTTTTGTTTAATTAATTACGTTGTAAACTATCACAAAATATTTGAAATTCATCAATATCTTCATTAGCTTCAAGAATTGTTGAATACGATTCAAGATCAGTTTCATCAATATCAAAATCACTATTATCATCATCATCCTCGTTATTATCTTCTCCAAGTCCATCACCTGCCATTTCATGATCGGGAACCTTTATAAAAAAAACAATAAACATAATTCTATTGAAACTTTTTTTTGTGAATCAAATTCATACTTTTCCTTTAAGTTTCCCAAGAAAATCATCTTCATGCTCAATATTCTCATCATCACCGTCATCAATTTCTAAAAAAAATAAATTTTATTTAATATATTAATATAAATTTCATATATCTTTTTTTTACCACTGGGTACGGAATCATCATCATCGTCCGTATCATCTTCACTATCATCTTCATTATTATGTTGATAGGTTTTCATTAAACCTTGATATATATGAATACAATTCGGTAAAATTTTTGGTACAATATTTGATATAGCTGAATAATATTTCGCATCAATACGAAGTAGTGTACAAAGACCAAGTGAACAAACACGACGATCATGAACACCAGCAAATAATTCTGAATCTGTCATCCATTGATTAAAAAAATTACCTATAACACTTTGTGTACTTGGATCATTTGCAGCAACTGTATTTAATGTTTGAAAAAATCTATCAGGATTAAGCCATAGAATAACAATGAATACTTGTATAAGCATAAGACGTAATTCACTAGTAACAATTTCACGTTGAAAACGTTGAGCCATCATCTGAACGATGGCTGGTAGTGCCTAAAAATATAAAGTAAATAGTTCTTTTTCAATTGAAATTATTCATAAATATAATACTAACTGCACTCATGTTATCTTGACATTGAAGAATGATTACTTCGATTAATTTAACAGCATGTGCTTCAGAATCTTCACCCAAATCATTGACTATGACCTATATAATTCTGTAAAGAATATCACTGCTAAGTTCCAAAAATACTTACATGTTTACACATTTCAAAAACTGTTTCAAGTCGATCAGGTTGTGCTAAAAATGATGGTGTATCATTAACAACATAATTATGTAAACAATTCATTATTTCTTAAATTTCGAAAGAAAGAGAAAACAAAATAAATAAATATAATTAACAAAAGATTTCTATTTTACCAGCAAAATAATCTGCAGCATCACGAAAGAAAGCTTCTTTAATTAAATAAAATACTTGCCACATTAATGGACTAACTGTATTGATCGTTAATGTATCGACTAATGTCAAAATTTCTTCATAAAAATCTACAAAAAAAATATATTCAAATAAATTCATTCAATAAATAAATTAAATCATAATAGTTACCTAGAATACCATCACGTAAAACAAGCACAATTGCTTCATATATAATTTGTTCGATTTGTGAAAGTATCTAGAAAGATATAACATAGTTTCATTCAAATTTAATATATATATATAATAATAATTACCTCTTGTTTTTCTCCCATACAACTAACAATTGTATCCAAAGTATTTAATACACCCATAGCAGCAACAGTTCGTTCTTCAGCTTTACTTTCATCAGTCGGTGTATTCTCTGAACAAACAACATGTTTAAAAAATTCCACTAATTGTGATGTCATTTGTACAGCAATTGGTTGTAATTCTTGATCAAATAATCCAACAATTTTTTGTAAAACAATCATAATATCATCAATTTCTGTTTGTCGAATTATTTCAATAATACGCATAACAATTATTTGTAGATGTGGAATTATAATAGCTTTTCCTTTTTCACCTGTATCTGAATCAGACATAAATAAATTTAATGCCATAGCTGCTTCAACTTTAACAGGTAATGATGTATCATTACATAAACAATTTATAAGAAATGTTAAACATCGTACTGAATTATCTGGATTTGTATATTCAAGTTTAGAAAAATTTCTTAATGCATAACAAGCACGAGCACGTAAAAATGCTGTTGGACTTTGTAATTCAGGAAATAAATATTGAACAATCATATTTTCTAATTGATTAGCAAATGCTTTTTTCTTAATAAGAACATTACCAATAACACCTAACATATGTAAAATACCATCTTTTTGTTTAACTGTTATTGAATCATTATGTATTATTGTACCAAGAAAAGAAACAGTTTTCATTAGAACATCTTTTCGTTTAGCTACAGCATCAGCAAGAAATAATTCAGCAGCTGATACTGGACTAATATATTCATCCAATATATCTAAATAAAGTTAAATTTCGATTTTATAAACAATACTAGTCCTGTTATTAGAAACTATCTTTTATTGAGAAATAGAGAATATTGAAATAGTAAGAATCCGGTTAATTTACCATTTCAGTTGACCACTACAGTTTTGTCCATCAATTAAGATATATTCTTGTTATTACTCATTACATAACGATAGTCTATGTTCAGCTTTTGTCTCATCAAATTTTCATTATATTAAACAAGAAGTATTTCTAATTCTATTATGTTACGAAATGATAACATACCAAGACGTGCTCGAACAAATTCTACTGGTTCTTCATTAAATAATTCAATATCATCATCACTAACACATAATAATGGATAAATAATATCTTGTATAAGTACAACAATATTATTTTGCATAATTTTCCATGAAAATGCATGACGAACACTAAAAATAAGATTTTAATTTTCGTCTGTAAAAGTTGTGTTTTTTTTTGATTTTATCTCAAATTACCTTTCACGTAAATAATTAAGTGAAAGTTGTAAAACACGTGGTGATACATAAACTTTTTGTCTATATGCTTCAAGAACATTAAAAACGAGACCAATGACTTTTCCTACAAAAACAAAAAAACGTATTTTTTTAGATTATTTTTTTTAAAACGAAATATATATATATGAATTCATACCGGAAAAACCTTTTAAATAAAAATTTGCAAATTCAATTCTGTCTGGTGATTGTCCCTTAGGTAAATTTGCTGGTGAACCGTGTCTAAAAATTATTTAATAAAAAGAATACATATTCGATTTAAGATTTTAACCTTTCAAATATTCGAATAAGAATATGTAATGCCCATTTTTTACATTTCCACCATGGATGTTCAGCTCGATCTTCTTCATCAAGTGCATCTAAACGTTCAGGTAAACGTCGTTCAAGAACTGCACAACATGTATCAAGCCATGTAGCCATTGTTTGTGTAGGTAATACACGAAAACTTAAATGAAGCTAAAAAAGATATACATATATATATATATATATGAAGATTAATATAAACACACCTGAGTATAAGCGTGAAAAATTTTAAGAATTTGTTTTTGTATAAGTGCTGATTGATCCGAATCATTATGAGCAAATAATTGCATAAAACGTTGATGAAGAATAGGTAAAATAACAACCATAACATCATCTATTGGAGTTCGATCTTCTGATTTCTTGTATCTAGATTTAATTTTAAAAATGAATCGTTTTATTTTCAAAAAAAGAACTAATAGATACATACTCATAATGTTGTACAAGTGTATAGTAAACAAGAAGAGTACTATCCCATGCATCGATATTATCTGTTGAAAGACATGAATGAATTTGATTTATAAACTGTGGCCATTTAGATGGAAAGTCATTTTTTATCATTGTACCAGCCGTTGCAATTAATTGACATCTGAATTAATTCAACAATTTATTTATATTCTACGATATAGTCTTATATCTTATTACCTCAATGGATCTTTAGTACGTATAATAGCGTCAATAAGAATATTTCGTAAATATTCTTTATCAGGATCAGATACAACAAATAATTTTTGAGAATTATCACTAACTGGTGTATTAATATTAACATTAACTGCATTCGCTAAGGTGATAATGTCTGGATCATTATTTGTTTTTGGATCATTATAATCCGACCAATACGTATTAATATGATTTTTTAAATAAATTGCTCCTATAAATAAAATAATTATATATATATATCATTTAATAGATATTAATATATTTTACCAGCTTGTCTAGCTCCCATATCGCATTGTTCACTGAGAACAATCTGTAGTAGACATGGGACAAAACCAGTTGTTTTGCAAATCTAAAGTTCAATAGAAATCTATCAAATATTGAATTTGAATAATAAAAAGAAAGTACTTGAGTAAGTTTTTCTTCAGCTTGTTTACGTAATTGAGGTGAAAGTGTAGCTTGAAGTGCTTCGACTACTGGAGTAAGATCCATTTTTCTTAGTTGTCTTAAAAAATTAAACTCGTAAATAATCAAAAACAAAAAACAAATAAATATGTAAAATCCGCATAAAAAAGAACGGCATTAAGAGAGGCATGCAGACAGCAGATGGATCAAAATACATTCATTAAACCAATCGAATGATTTTAATTATCCTCTAAATTTTGTCTTTCAATGAAAAGTTTTCCTCTTAAATATAATAATAAAAAAAATTCTCAGTTTTTTTGAATACAAATTTATATATGAATAGATGTCGCTTTAATGACTCATCGCTTTTAGCCAGCTGTTCTTATTCGATGCTCGATTAGTTTTTTTTTTATTTTGTTATCTTTATAATTGTTATATGTCTATTCACCATCACCACGGGCTAAGAAGAAGAAGAAGAGGACGAAAAGCAAAATATGTATAGTAGACTTTTTTTTGCATGTCGAAAGATTCTTTATTTCTATAGTATATATGAATACATAGATGTTATTTACGTTTAGTTTTTCTTATATCTGAGAAACATCATATGGAAGCATCTTCTTTCATGCACATTAAAGTATATCTGATGAATAAGATGACTTTATCTCTGTTTAGAACTAATGATAATAATTCGATGTCTTCTTATTTTTTATCTTTTCTCTCTTCTATAGTTAACGTACTAGTCATAGGAATTTTATCCTTGTGCACACGTTTCTTTCAGTTGTATAACTTCTCTTTCAACACAAAGAACTACCTATTATCTTTTTATGGTTGTTATTGTTATTTTTATGCTTATCTTTTCTGTTCTATTCTTTTACACATACACTCACTTTTTTTTTCTTTATAGTTTCTAGATTGTTAACAACAATCAACATTCTCTCGTCTTCTTTTTGTCACTGATATAATAAGGAATAAAAGACTCTTTACACGTTCACTTAGATAGAAACAAATGTCAGGCTGGGATCAGTACGTAACTAATTTGACAAGTCAAGGCATTACACATGCCGGAATCTTTGGTGCTGATGGATCAAAATGGGCTGCATCTCCACATTTTCCAGTAAGTTATTTTTTTTATTATTTTAAATAAATAATATTTTCATAATATCGTTTTTTTTGCTAGTCAATTGAACACCTTAAAGACGAATTATCAAAAGCTTTTTCTTCCACACCATCAGGCATTGTAGTGAATGGTGAAAAATATATTTTCATTCGTAATCAAGACAATTTTGTTGTCTTACGAAAAGGTGCTGATGGAATGGTTATTGTTAAATTAAATCAAGGTAAATAAATAAAAGATAAATATTTATTTATTTAAATTTTATATGTCGTCGTGTTCTTTTTTTTATTGCAGCTTATATTATTTCAATTGGTGTCAATCAAAAACCTGAAATGTTAGTAGGAGCAACGAACAAGATCGGTGAATATTTGAAAAATTGTGGTTATTAGTTATTATATCAATGATGTTTTTTTTCCGTCATATCATCTCATCATCAAAAATACAAAACATTTTCGTTTTTTTGTGTGATTCATCATATATGTTCCTTTCTTCTTCTTCTTCTTTTTTTATATTAGTCAATGCTGGTTTTTTTTCTGCTACGCTACTTCATTATCTTATTCCTAAACAACGCACTTTTATATAAAAACTAAAAAACGATTGATATAATCATGATTCCTTTTTTTCTCTGTCTTGTCTTTGTACCATCGTGCTTAGCGCATTAAAACTATCATAATTTTTTAATTCGATACATTTTATTATTGTTCGTTTGCTCATTATATGTGAATATACACGCATTATTTACCGAAAAACAACATAAAACAACTATTAGTGCATATATATAAGGTTACTCTTTGTTAGTATATCTTCATAGTTATGTGTTAGAAAAGGTAGATGTTGGATTTTTATTGATAACGACGACAACAACAAAAAAAAACAAGTAATAAGTGATATGATGAAGGTCAATGATATTGAAAACAAGTTGTTTTATAGACAAGTGTTAAAGGTTCTTCTTTGTTTATTGAATATGAAACACATCTGATAATTAAAATATTTCTAAGAGTACTTATATGATTTCCCATGAGGAATATAGTTTGATTTGTGAATGATTCATAGATCAAATATCGATATGATTACAATTGTAATTATCAAATAATATTTGTCAAAAAATGTTACTTGCTAAATAGATGTTTGGGGATTGATTGCGTAATTTATTTTAATTCAGTATGCAAGAAGAAGAAAAAAGTATTTTGATGAATGAGAGAAAGAACAAAATATACCTATGCTCTCTTTCTATATATATATATACATATGAATCAATGTTATACATGAATTGTTTATACTTGCGTAATGCAAATATGCATTGTCATTCATCACTATTAAAACGGTTTATGATCAATATATCAGTCGGATTAACTACTGATGATAATGGATAAGGGTTATGAAATCTTCATGTAAAATGAAACAGTTGATTTAAGTTACATGTTAATATTAACTTTCTAATGGAGATATTGATAGTTCGATTTCATATCTTAATTTAATCTTAACACTCACTCGTATATAATGGTGTTTGATTTAACAAATAAGTCGATATGATATATATCATTCGACAATATCTATACAATCATATATGTAAAATTAGTTTTAACACTACATATTTATTAGCAATGACTTGAGTAATTTGTATGCTCGATGTATGAGCGTATAAATTCATTGCTCACGAACAATTTCAACACCCACACCCTCAAGATGAATGATTATACTTGACATAGGATTTCAGTCATAGTTGAAAAATTGAAATAAAATTATCAATCGGAACGAACTCAAACGAATACTAAGTATATTTATACCGACAAGAAAAATCTTTTATTCTATGGATACTATCACAAATTCTTTCAAGAATACTTATGAAATATTGCTATTAGTTTTATATTAGTCGATATAGTTGACATCTAAAATTCTTTTTATTCGGATCGGAAACTGCCGCCCTCTGTAAAAGTTTGTCAAATTGAAGACAATTGCTTCGTCATGAAGTTTTTATTCGTACTTGACAACTCAACTGAAACCAATCGCTTACTATCGCCATGATATTTTTTCATGCAAAATAAAAAAAGCAACAGTCATTAACTGACGACGTGGAAGGTAACTATTACTTTTTTTATTAAATTGAAAGAATAAAGAAAAAAGAAACTTTTTTTTCTCTATTGACATTATTATGTATGACTAAGTGTCTGTATGCCTTATGTTGTAGATGTTAGTAATAAAACTGTAATTACATTCATTTTCACTATATACGATTATTATATTTAAATATATCAATGGGAAATTTAATTGGTTATTTTTCTGGTTTATTTGGTAATAAAGAACGACGTATACTTATATTGGGTCTTGATGGAGCAGGTAAAACAACAATACTTTATCGTCTACAAGTTAGTGAAGTCGTTACAACCATTCCAACCATTGGTTTCAATGTTGAAACTGTACAATATAAAAATTTAAAATTTCAAGTTTGGGATCTTGGTAAAATAAATAGATTTATTTTTCAATTATACAATATCTTGTTTTTTTGAATTTAGGTGGTCAAACATCCATTCGTCCTTATTGGCGTTGTTATTATTCAAATACAGATGCAATTATATATGTAGTTGATTCTATGGATCGTGATCGTATTACGATATCGAAACATGAACTTGTATCAATGCTTGAAGAAGATGAACTTAAAAATGCTGTTCTATGTGTATTTGCTAATAAACAAGATCTTGAAGGTTGTATGACTGTAAGTGAAGTTGCAAATGCAATTGGTTTAACATCATTAAAAAATCGTAAATATCAAATATTTAAAACATCAGCTATCAAAGGTACTGGTTTAAATGAAGCTATGGATTGGTTAGCAAATTCATTGCAACAAAAGAAATAATATTCAATAACATTTAAATCAATCTAAAAAGACTGTTTTTAGGTCAATTTATACATTTTGTTTTCTAATCGATCGAACTCAAGTGAATAAACTTTTATCTGTTTATCATATATATAAAAATATATCCAATTCGTTTTTCTTTTCTTTGTTGTTTTTTCTCAGTATATACAATGTAAACAAACGCAAAGTATTCATTTACTATTATTGTTTTGAGTTTTTTTTTTGAAATATTAAAAAATAAAAAAATAGAAAAAGACTTAGTTGTATTTTTTATAAGCAATATAAGAAATTTGTTCTCACATGTTATTATAAATAAATAGTAAATGTATTATAAGAATTTAATTAAGACGATACACGATATCACTGATTGAATAATTATAAATTCAAATATATTCAAAAAATTTATTGAGTTCATGACAACACTCATTAATAGTATATATGAATAATAAAAAGTCAGGAATCCTGTTCTATATATCTATGAAAATATCTAAGAATTTTGTGAACATTACGAGTAATTCAGATCCAATGCAAAGATTTAACAAATGAAGTAGGTGAGTATCTTTTTGTATAATCGAAATCATATGAAGTTAAATTTGATACTATTGAAAGAATTAGTGTCCAAAAATGAAAACAAAACTAGAAAACAGTTAATTTCAACTATGTGCAAGCCTTTATTAACAAAAACAAAGAAGTATAATAATAGAGTTTAACGTTTTTTCATTGTTAATGCTCGATCACAACAACCAAGTTGACACGCTTCGCACAAGCTTTTCTCATGTGGACCTTTCATATCAATTTCTTTGTCACTAGTATTTGTCGTTTTGGGTGGCCGTTTTTTACCATAACAATTCCATCCAATTCTTTCATATAGTTTTTCTAATATGAATTTAATTTCATCCGTATCATATTCTGGATCAACAAAATAATTTCCATTGCGAGAACATTTTTTACATTGTTGTCCATAGAATCGTGATGTAATTTGACCTAGACGTTAATTAGCACTAGGATAATAAAATATAACCTGTGCTTTTGCCGATGTCCAACTATTCGAACATTTTGGACAATGAAAACTAGAGTTATAAAAAAAATGTTGTTGAAAAGAAAATGTAAAAAAATCGCTAATATGATATACCGTGCATATGCTTGTCGTTCCATAGTACGTTTAGTTTGAAGTTTTCGTAATTGGCTTACATTATTTCTATGCATTTGATTCAGTGACCATTTGTCTGGATATGCTTCAAAGATATCGTCAAATATATCTTTCCAGTCGATAAATGACATATTGTTTGTATATATTTTTTATAAATAAATACATTTCGAACTAATATGAACATATATACTACTTTATTTCCCATCATGGTATATACTTTATTGATTTCTTCCCACTGTGGGTTACTTTTTGATAAATCAGAATAGAAAAAAAATAGTACGTGACCATACTATTTTTCGTGACAGTTAACGACATCATCATCATCTAACAAAGATTTTTATTGATTCAATCTATTATTGATATTTTTTATGATCTAAACTGAGATCAATATAGCTGCAACTAGCACAATATTATTTTCTTTTTGTTTTGTAGATGTTTATCTTTATCTTTATCTTTATTTTTACATAAACGGTTTTGTTTTTTAAAACCAAATGATAAACAAATATATATTATCAGTAACATTCGTATCAAAAATTAAGATTAGAAAATGTATTTTCAAGGGCATATTTTTGAAATTTGAAAAAAACATATTTATTTGATGATAACTTAGTGTCTTAAAAAAACTTGTTATTATCATTATTATTATTATTTTTTCTTCCTAGTAGAGATAATCGAATTTTATATCATAGAGTATCATGTTTCCTTATTGACTACTAACCATACTGTGTATGTATGGGCATATGCATGTTTTTCTTAATACATCACATACATTTGACTTATTCTACAAAATAACAATTACCAAATTCTAATAAAATCAACGTGTCGCTATTTATTATAAAGTACTTTTTATGATGGTATAGTACAGATACTAGTTTTATTATAAATATCATTCATTCTTTTCTTGTCTTTTTCGTGTCGTTAGTTCTTAAAACCAATACACGTCTAACAGCATTCTATAGAAAGAGAGAGAGAGAGAGGGAAGGAGGAAAAAAAGAAAGAAAAGAAGACGACCATGTCGATAACGGGTCTCATTTTTACTTCTTTATAAACGAGAATAGTATAAATTGGATGATATTTTAAATTATGTATACATATACATGTATATATACATAAGTTACATGTATTCACGCATCCGCTTCAGGTGAGCTGTTATCCTTGATCAATAGCTTAGAAGGTTGAGCAACCTTTTGTCCTTTTTTATAACCTTCCAATTGAAGTATTCACCTAGATATTTATCCTATTTTTTTCTACAACAACTACTAAATCTTTATGCGTAAAAAGTGATGATGACAATAATAATAATAATAATAAATACACTGTTGTCGTTGTCCTTTTATCATTTTTGTTATTCGCCAACAGGTTAAATGACATTCTTTTTCTGATTATCATTTGTACCTTGTCCTTCGTATGTGACTTTCTCTCATGCTGTGTGCACGATCGTATATATGCTTCGTTTTATTATCATAAAAACAAAGAAAAAATAAAACTATGAATCTTATCAGTAGCTGGTAGCTTTTCTTTTGTCTTAATATTTCGATGTAGATTCATTTTATTAAAAGAGAAAAAGACGTGTGCGACAAACGAATAGAATCGTTCGATGAAACAAAAAAAAAGTTTAGTATATTCATTCGTTTTAATATTTTATTTTTTATTTCAGAAGATACATATATATATATATTCCACCTGAGCCCTCATTATGGAATCTGATAATGCAAATGGTGAAGTATTTCTATTCACATCAGAATCAGTCGGTGAAGGACATCCTGGTAAGTAGTAAAATGTACTCAATTTGTAAAATAATAATTTTGTTTTATTTCTATTTAATAGATAAAATCTGTGATCAAGTAAGTGATGCTGTACTTGACGCTTGCTTGAGCCAAGATCCCAATGCCAAAGTAGCATGTGGTAAGTTTTTTTTATATTAATCTACATTTTTTTCTATTGACTCATTTATTCTAGAAACATGCACAAAAACTGGTATGGTATTAGTATGTGGTGAAATAACAACATCAGCTAATCTTGATTATCAAAAAATCATTCGTGATACAGTTCGTGAAATTGGTTATGATTCATCCGATAAAGGTTTTGATTACAAAACGTGTAACGTACTTGTTGCACTTGAACAACAATCACCAGATATCGCTCAAGCAGTACATGAAAAAAAATCTGATGAAGATGTTGGTGCTGGTGATCAAGGTCTTATGTTTGGTTATGCAACAGATGAAACAGAAGAATGTATGCCATTAACTGTCGTACTTTCTCATGAACTTAATGCTAAAATGGCTGAATTAAGACGTAATGGTGAAATGGAATATCTTCGACCAGATTCAAAAACTCAAGTATAAAAAATATATATATATATATGTATTAGGAAAAAAAAATATTCTTTTTTAAGGTTACTGTTGAATATAAATTTGAAAAAGGTGCATGTATTCCTCAACGTGTGCATACAATTGTTATATCAACTCAACATAGTCCACAAGTAACACAAGAAAAATTAAGAGATGATCTTCTTAATAAAATTATTAAAACTGTTGTACCAAAAGATTTACTTGATGATAAAACAATTTATTATTTAAATCCATCAGGTAAATTTGAAATTGGTGGTCCACAAGGTGATGCTGGTTTAACTGGTAGAAAAATTATTGTTGATACTTATGGTGGTTGGGGTGCTCATGGTGGTGGTGCTTTTAGTGGAAAAGATCCAACAAAAGTTGATCGATCAGGTGCCTATGCTGCTCGATGGGTTGCTAAATCACTTGTCAAAGCAAAACTTGTTCGTCGTTGCCTTGTTCAAGTTTCTTATAGTATTGGTATCTCTGCACCATTATCCGTTGCTGTTTTTGCCTATGGTACTTCAGCTAAAACAAATAAAGAATTACTTGAAATAGTTAACAACAACTTTGATCTTCGTCCAGGTATAATCATTCGGTACGTTATTGAATATATTTATTTATTTTCTTATTTCAAATAATTTCTTTTTTCTTTTTACAGAGAGTTAGATTTAAAAACTCCAATTTATAGAAAAACAGCTTGTTATGGTCATTTTGGTAGACCAGAATTTCCATGGGAACAAGCAAAACAACTTAAATTATAATGGTTTTAAAGGGAAAAAAATTTTTAAAATTTATTCTTTTTTTTTTCTTGTGATAAAAGTTTGCTAATCTAAATGCGTTGTTTAAGCTATTTTTTTTTGTATTGATGAAACACAAAGTTATCTGTGTATCAAGTTAGTGAGAAGAAAAAAAATATATATAAACAATATATATGTGTCATATCCGTTTAACAGTTAATTCTTTTTTTTTTAATTATTTATGATTCAATCTCAAGATATCTATTATGGATAATTGAAACGTCGGAGTTCGTACATTACGAAAACTAACTGTTTAGTACAATAGGTCATCTAATATGATATGTGATTCGTTATTTGAATTTATTATAGGTCATTGGAGGCTATTATTCGGTTGATAGATTCCATATAAACTAAACATATGCGTATGATATTGATTATTTAAGCAACAATAAATTTATTTTTTGATTCTACATAATGCATGTAAAATTAAAATATTCAAATGTAGTAGATTTCCTTTAAACAGACATATATCATCGTTTTGTGCTAGCACGATTGAAATATTAGTTTTTTTAACAAATGATATATTGATATGGAATGAACATATAGGTCTAATTGTATATACTCTTGCAATTTAGTTGTATGTCGATAATCGTCCTATCTATGTCTCTGTACTATGTGACATCTGAGAAGAACATATAAATAAACAGCATTATTTAATGATTTCCTTGACAATTATTAATGATGTAAACATATAGTCAAGTAAAAACCAAATGAGAAATGGGACTAATGGACATATATACAAATTAATAATCGATTTGTTGTTATTAGTCGATCGTTACTAAAAAAAAACATTTGATATTAAAAGAGTATATTTTTCTACATACTATCATCCTCAGACGAAAAAACAAATCATCTATCTTTAGACTATTAATTAGTTACATTCGAGGTCGCTATTAGTCGTAGTTATATTTTACTCTTATTTTCGGTTCGATAATAAAGACGAACAAATTAAAAACCACAGTAGTCCTTATTGGTTAATTATCATGGTCACGCGTACATATACACGATAATATAAAATTGTTTTTAAATAATCTATATACACATATTATTATAGTTTGTCGTACTTTATTAATAGTTTTACTATAGTAAATTAAAATATTGTATATTTATACATGATTACTCATAGAAGTAATTTTAGACAAATAAAAATCGTTGAAAAACAGCAATAGCCGCAAGTTTTGCTATTCATCATGCAGTCTTAAGTACTGATATATGTATACATGTTTCGACATTAATAGTCAATTATCTTTGAGAACCAGATTTTTATTAGAATATACATGATGGACAAGAAACTGAATTAGATAATTCAATTATTGTTCTTATGGTGAAGCAGAAAGTAGATTACAAGAAGCACATATGTTAGAAATATTCGATCGGGAAAGCAAAATTAGCTGAAGATATATTAGAAGCAGATTGACGAGATAATTATTAGATGTACTTACGCATATTTTTGTAGAAAAATATAATAAAGTTCAACTCAAGATACTAATGGATATATTTTATAATCTAAATAACATTCGAAAATTTTAAAATTGAATTTATACCAATAATAAAATCAAAGAAAAAATGATTTATATAAAGGAAACTACAAGTAACTATCAAAATTATCAAACACAAACTGAATTGAAAAGAAATACAATAGAAAATAATTGCTGCTAATTATATAGGTTGTTATATTATAGCCGTATTTATGAATATCATAATTTCATATTTACTATTGAAAATTTATAGGTGAAAACAGAAAAACAAATATCCCATGTTGATTTATACGACATAAACGAACCATTAACGGTACAATTTCATGCTTGTCAAAAAAAATTTGAAAACTACTGAATGAAAACAAAATGAAACCTACTGAAAATATTACTATTCTTAATCATTCATCAAGAGTTAGATGAAATTGGTGCTTCATGTTTAAACAATACGAACGAAATAAGTGTATTACTTAAATGAATTGAATTTATTCCTTTTTTTTTCATTAAAATAAAATACGAACATCTTTTTTTACTGTTTTTTATTAGAAAAAATTCTTATTTGCGTTGATAAAAAAAACTTGAGAACTACAGTAGTTATTAAACTTTTTATTCGCATTGACGTGTTATATATTTCAGTTGCGTATATACATCAATATTAACTTTGACATAAATACTCTGTGTCTACAGACATGAATCATATGTACACGGCTGTCCTATCACAAAATAAGAAAAAGAAACATTAAGATCTATTTTCTTTTTGTATGTAGTTCTGTTGATGAGATGTTTCAGGATATATCCAATCAGTTGATACTATTAAGTTTCCTTCTTTCTATTACTAAAAAATTCCATTGAATAGATATATATCTATTATCAATTGTAAACTTTGTATTCGAAAGTTTAGGTTCAAATATATATAAAAATGATAGTGACAAATAGAATTAGTCGATTCATTCTTATTGTCATCTAATAGAATTATTAATCAATTCAGCATAGTCTTTTAAAATAATCAAAATAACTCTGTCGATATGACATATATAATAAAGAATTTTTTTTTTATTCTTCGAGACTACAAATATTTCTATTATATTGATTCAATACATTTACGAGACGAAATATTATTCAATAGCTTGAAATTTTATCGCGATACATCTTATCAGTTAATATTTATCAAAATTCTGTAATTAAAGATGACGATATTTTTGACAAATTAAATCAAATGTTTCTCTCCGTCTAATCATGATTGATTAAACAGAGCTAACAATCTATGAAGCTATTTTATTTTATTTACTATTGAATACAAAACGTGCAAATTATAAGGAAAGAAAAGCTTCATAACATAGTAGAATAGTTTTTTTCTTTCTTATTCGTAGTTTTGAAGAGACCAAGGAAAGACGGTTGCATCAGCCGGCGGTTTTTTTTCGTTCTCTTTCTTACAGCTTTTTTTTATAGTTGTTATTGCATTATATACATGCACGAATAAATTTTCTTCTAATATACATTAATAATAGAACGTTATGGAGTGTAGACAAAAAAAAAGAAAGAACGATCCTCTTGAGATATTTTATATTGAGGTTCAGTTTTACACAGGCACGCATATAGAAATATATATATTATAATCATTTTTTTATTATATATTTCATTGTATAATAAGATACTTTTTTTCTTTGTGCGTGTTAAAGTATTTGCGGAAAAAAATATGTAAACGTGACAATGAGTAAAAAAATAGTATGATCACGTTTCAGAGTAACTTAATCTGAAACATCTTATTATTTTTCTTTTTCTTCTTTTTTCTATTATTTTATTTAGGAATAAAGAACTGAATTAAAATTTAAATGTCATCTCCAACATCTGATTCATATTTAAATCCAATAACAAATTATATATCATTAATTCAACGAAAAGAAATCTTTACAAAACAACGCATTCATTCAATACGTCAATATTTTCTTCAATCAGTTGGATTAACTATTCTGCTATATTTTATTCTACAAATACCCATTCTATTATATTTTCTACTTAAATTATTATTACGTTTAATTTTTCAAATATTTTCACTGATATTTTGGTTACCTTTAAAAACTATTGAATTAATATTACCAAAAACAAATAGTTATGGTATTTTATTTCCATTACTTTTTTTATTTTCAACTGTTTCATATTTAATTGCGAAGTTGACACATAAAAATTTTGAAACAAATTTCGGAAAACGTTATAAAGTACTGAAAAAGAATTCATTTATATTAATTTTTATCGTATTTCTTCTATTACAATCTATATTTATTCTCTTTCCGATTGCTGGATCAATACAAAAACAAAAACAATTGCCTTTAGTAAAAAAATCAATTATTAACAAAAATATTTTTTTCAAATTTTTTTCATTCTAGAATTCATTGATTAGCAAACAAACTAAAATAGATTTATCGGAAAAATCTAATATATTGATAAAAAATAATGAAAATATTAAACGTCAAGAACTTAATCGATTGAAAACAAATGATACAATTCAAAATAAAGTTAGTAAATGTATAAGAATCTTCCTATTTGTTTTTTTTTTGGTATATAGAAATCATCGTATTTGGAAAACAATTTTGAATCTGATGTTGAAGATGAACATTCAAATTTAGTTGATCGTGACAGACGACATATGGTCGATGTAGAAAATTTGAATACTAATTTTCCTTTTAAAGTAAATAGCGAAAAGTTTAATATTTAATTTTTTAATACAAAAAAATAATACAATAGATTTCTTCGGATGAAGAACGAGAATTATTATTTAAACAACAAGCAAATAAACTTGTTGATTCTAATCAACAGTTCAGTTCCAATGTCCTCGAAAACTCAACTAAGCAGGTAATTGTAATATTCTTTAATTTAAAATAATGACTTGTTTTTTTGTTATTACTTTATAGAGCGTAGGAACATTTCAGACTATAATGAAAAAGAAGACATCATCTACTAAATCAGAACTAGAAGAACAACAATCATTAATATATGATCAAAAATTAAATAATTGGCTTGATGGACTTTGGAATATTAACTATCCAACTAAACTTGATTTTCAAGAATTGCATTCTTTATCATTACAATATCTTCAACATTTACCTCAATATGATGTGAGTTCAATTTATGCAGCTTATACAGATTTGAATTGTTATGATTACACATCAATAATTGATCATTATCAATCAACTAAACAAAAATATATTCATTTCCTTGATACTTATCGTCGTCAGACACCTTTTCCTGTTTATCTATCTATATTACAATCTAATGGACCTAAATGTTATCGTTACTATCCAAATTTGTTGTGTGCAAATTCTCAAACAGAATCGAATCGTTTTTCAAAAGTGTTCATAATTAATACCATTTTGATTATTTTATCAGTAATCATTTTATTATATCGACAATATAATAAAAAATCAAATAAAACTCAAGAAATCATATCAAATAAACCAAATGATATATCTTTACCACAAACAACACCAACTATTACTGAGAATTATTATTATATAAATCCAAAAATTAAAAATCAATTATCTTCATGGCTTGAATATGTACAAAATGATAATTATGAAAATATCCGAGATAAATGTCGGCTAGCATTAAATAGCAAATTATTAAAAAAATATGTAAGTAATTACAATTGATTAGTTTTAAGAATGTAAACCTTGATATTTGTATTATAAGCTCGACAATATAATAAGGATGAGTTGTTTGTGTATTTACTCAATATGTGTTTTCTCATATAAATATAAAGCTGTTCTTATTTTGTTGTTAACGACATCCTGTCATTTCTTGCGAAAATGATTTTTTATGTTTGTATCTTATAAGATCAAACATCATTTATTTATTTCCGAAAAGCATTCTCAACACATAATATACATGCAGATTTTCTTATTTTTTTTGTCGTGGCTCTTTTCTTTTTCTTGTGTCTTCTTCATCATTCTTAACGAAGAAATGCACACGAGCGTAAGTATAAAAACGGGGAAATATGCCGAACGACGACAATTCAACGATGATAATTATTGAGTTTCTTTTTCCGAGGATCGACATATATTCATAAGATATGTAACAACATAACACGACTCTCTAAATATTAACAATGCCTTTACATCATCAAACTTCCATTAATACATTTATTGATTATCAACGTAATAATATTTATCAATTTCTTCCTGATCTTACATTATATTATAATAATTTATTTGAAAAATTTAATGAATATTTTCTATTTTTTACAATAATTATATCTATTATGACAATATTTATAATTTTATCAATAATATTCGAATCGAATATTTTATTAAATTTTCTTCTATTTATTTATTCATTTCATAAATATTTATTTATAAAATTGAAAAAAAAATTTCTTCAATTAACTACATCATCATCATCTCTTTTGAATTTTTTATTAAATTCTCCTAATTATATTCAAAAACTTTTCTTTAATGAATTTCTTCATTCATTAAATCAAAAGTTTTTATATAAAAAGGTAACAAAAATATGTTTTTTTATCATAACATCATATAAAAATATTTGCTTGATTAAACATACATTATTGTTATTCGTTTCAGGAACAACTACAAATAGAAAAATTACAATTTACTGATGCGAAAATTTATCATATTTCTCAAAAATCTAATGAACCGCCTGTAAATATTTTCATGCTTTTGTATCAGTACATCTATTTATTCTGTTTAAAGGTAATCAATGCAACAATGAATATTGATAATTTAGTATTTAATATTCTAAATCCAATAAAAAAGCATCATTATTCTATTGAAATACCAAAATTAACTGGTGAACTTCAAATATATTTGATAAATAATATTGAAGTTAAATTTAAACAAATTCAAATAAATTCTGTCGATATTATTGATTCGAAAAATGTATGCAACTAAACAAAAAATAATTAATTTATTCCTTTTTTTCTTTCTTTTCAACAGATTTTATCATCTGATGAAAAACAATCCATCATCAAATTACTGACAGAAATAATTAGTCAAACTATTGTTCAATTTAGTTTTCATTTACCTGATAAACAAGATAAAATTGTTAATGAGCCAGTGGCAGTAAGTGCAGAAAATGAATTTCATACTGTCAGTTCAAGATTCTCTTTTTTTAAAATAGAAAAAGTTTTATTAAGTAACCACTCGACTTGACTAAGTAAAAGAAAACATTTTGATTTAAAAAGAAAAATTATTATTACTTTTTCTGACAAGGTCAATATAGAACTAAAAGATTAGTTTTGCTTCGAAAAAACATAGACAGAAGGATATATTAACATCTATTTGATCTTATAAAATTTTGATTCATTAAAATAATATAACAAAAAATTCAATTTGAAAAATAAATTTTCTTTAATCTAGCCACCGCCTACTCCATTAACTCCACTTGAATCATGTGAAATTCCTATTTTAACACCAGCAAAGATCAACAATCAACAGATCTGTCCTCCTCAAGAACCTAAAAAACTACTTGTTCGTATTGTGAAAGCTGTAAAATTACATGGTAAGTGACATAGAATTTATTTAACTAACAAAAAAAAAAATGAATGATTAGATGTTGAACAACCATTTTGTTTGCTTCAATTAAATCATCCTAAACAAACTCATCAAACAAGTATTGCAAAAAATGGTTTAAATCCGTATGTATTTTATTAAATCAAAATTATTTTATAATTCTATATTTTTTAAGATTTTGGGATGAACGTTTTATATTTGATTGTAATGATAAAAGTAATGAAATACATTTAAAAATTTTCGATCGTAAAAAGCCAAATAAAAAACTTCCGTCTAATACAAGTTAGTTTATTAATTGCTTTTTTTTTGGATTCATTTCAATTAATTACTTTTTTTTTACTAGATGATATCCTTTATGCAGATGTATCAATTCCATTTTCCTATGTCACAAGTACAATTTACAAACAAGATGTACGAATGACTCCTCAATATCCCGAGTCAATGATTCGTATTGAGGTAAAAATCTCTAAGTTACATTTCCTAAAGTAATGCGAATAAGATTGATGATTACAGCTCATATATTCTGCATTTCTCGTTTTTTTTCCTTTCTTTTATAAATATATATATATATGTGTAAGTCTTCAAATATTATTTCTTTCACTCTTCTGTTTGACACCTACGATATGATATGTTATTCTCTTTTTTTTTTACATTTTCTTCTTTGAAGAAAGAAGAGATGATGAGATGCATTAAATATATATACATGTTATTTGAGACTGAGAAAAAAAAACATCATTGATTAATAATGGTTCGTAGTCGAAGTGCAACTAATCTGAATCGAATATTTCTTGATTTATGTACAAGTCCTGATATACGTCGAAAACATAGTCCTCATGGAAATAATAATCAAAGACAATATCATCCACCTTTACCAATTTTAAAACCAATTAAATCAAATTCATGTTCGAATATAGATGATGTATCACAAACATTGAATGAATCATTATCATTTGATAGTGATCGAATGGAACAAAATATGACATTACATCCACCAAATCTTCTATCAACATCTACAATAGAACGATTATCTATTGAATGTATACGATCTACGGCTATGCCATTAGTACCAATAGAATCAACAGGTTTTGTTATTCAACCAACTTCTTCACTATCAACTGATGATTCATTAAAAACATTTGAAACATTAACAATAGATCGTATAAAAAAATCATCAAGCTACGAACCAATTTCAAACGATAATAAAAATACAAAATTTTTATCTATACCAATAAATTCCCCAAGAACATCACTAGATGTACAAAATCCAGATTTTCTAAATCGTTTACAAAATCGTTTAAAATCAAGAGGACATTTACGCAAATTTTTTCTCTCGTAACGATATCTTCGTTTTTTCTATATAAAAAACTGTATCAATTCTTTCTTTTTTTATCTATAAATATAGTTTTAAAAACAAATAGAATTTTCACGTTGTTTTTTAGTTTTCAACTCTATCCGAAGAAGAAACTTTAATTCGTAAGTTTATTTTTTTTCTAAAGAATGTTTAATTGAAATGAATTATATTTAATAGAAACGAACAAATATGAACATAGTCCTCAGCAATCACCATTGGAAGACATATCAATATTATCATACAATACATCTCTACTACCAAAAGATTACCCGAATGGAAGTAATGTAAGTAAAAGAAACATAATATTTTTTCTTTGAATTTTTAAGTAATAATCAGGGATTGTGTTGTTAAAGAAGGCAAATTCATTAACGTCTGATAAGTTACGACTCTATTCTTTTTCTCTTTCCATGAGAGTCTGTTATAATAAAATATTTAGTATAGAATTCAATCAACAATCAAGTCAAAGGAAATATTTAGTCTCATGTTGGTCTGATTAAATTACCAAATATTTATTTTATCACGAATTTTTTCGGACTCTAACTCTAATTATTTATAATTTATAAATATCTCAATAAATTGCTTTGATCCAATAAGTTTAATTTCTGATGAAGTACGATCGATAGAAATATTTTTAATACCAAGAGAATAAACTTCAATATTTCTCGTTCCATTGAAGAAAAGAATTATTTACCTAAGTTATATTTTCTCAAACAGCTACAAAACTCGTGAATAAATATTGACAATAGAAAAACTAAAAGTATGATTTGTCTTGACATTAAAATATAGCTAGAATTTATCATGATCATGCATCGGAGGAAAAAATAGAACTAAAAGTCATGTACTTCTTGACTTTTGTTTTTAATTTAACATTTATAATTCTGAAGACCTAGTAATGAATTAAATTACTTCATTTTCATTAAATATATATATTTAGGCGTTGAACAATACATTAAACTCTCATCGAATAACGGCTGATATATTTCCAACTCCATCTGATAATATTAGTCAAGCAATTAAATCTCATAAAACACGATCAATTCTAAGTTCAATTCGAAATTTTTCATTTCCACGACGAAAAAAGTATTCTATAAAAGGTAAACAAAATGACAACGGTGTGATGTCTTCACCTAATAGTGTTACACAAACTAACAATATATCACATAGTGCATCAGCAGGTATGACACACTAATATTCCACAATTAATTTCTAATATATACTAATAACATACATAAAAACAATTTCTAGAACCATTTCTATATTCAAATACAACAGGTCCAATAGCATATCATCAACATCATTCAGTAGGACAATCATTTAAAAATATATTTCGATCAAAGTCAAAAAAGAAACCAATACGTAAATATTACATTTAAATCAAATATTTCTAGACATTTTTTTTTGTTCTACACATTAGATACAGATAATTTTATTATTGATCATCCTGATTTATTATCACCATCACCAGTGTCACGAAAGAAACACTCACTTTTTCAACGATTTACATCAAAACGAAAAAAACAACAAATCAATTCATCAGCTAATTCTTTAACTAGTTATGATTGTACAAGGTTAATTCAATAGAAATTTAATATACACTTTTTTTTTAAATAAATTCTTTTTTTTGTTATTTTAGAACAGAATCAGTGCAAAATACACCTATTCGAGCAAATGGTGGTCGTCCGGTGACAAAACCACTTGTACAATGATGATCTTTTCTTTGAACACTGTTATATGTCGATTTTTATTTTATCTCAGTTTGTTTTATTAAAGAGAAATATAGCTAACTATTCGTTAGTGGAAAAAATTGGAATAACCATTGATGTTTAAATCGTATATTTTAGAAACTTTGACATAATGTTCCGAATCCGAAGTATTATTAGATATTACAGAAAGTTTTGCATTGGTGATTAAATGCATAGGATAGAAATAAAAGTTAACAGAAGTTTAAATTTACCTTGATTACGACATGTTTTCAGTCTCGAACGCAATCTCATTCTCATAGCAGACAAAAGTAGAGGATTTGTACATAGTTTCGAAATTGTTATTGCTACTGTTTTATCTAGAGGGTAGACGGCGCCCACTCGAAAAACGAAACGTGAGTAAAATACTGTTTATTTCTTTTTTTTTTTTGATGAAGTGTCTAACATAATTCTCTAGATCATTAAATTCCTTCAATACTCATATAATTAGTATCAATGCTACTCTCTCACACTAAACAGCTACGTGTTCCAATTAATTCTTTTATGATATCTTTATCTGAACCAAAACTACCCAATGGGGTGGAAAATTAAGAATAATATTCTATAATTCATATTACTAAATATTTAAAAATTAAATCTCAATGCTTACTAAATAAATTTTGTTCGATAAAACTTTTTTCCCCAGATGATTCATAATAAGCAATTGTATGAAATCAAAATAGTATATATATTGAAACAAAATTTTAATATCTTTTCTCTCTATAATACATTCAAGATATACAAACAAAATAAAGACCTTGGAAATTCTCGATTTAAAAAGAAAAGAAAAATGACATTGATTAAACTGTTGTATTGTCAAGTGTAAGTAATGTGAAAAGAACAGGTAAAAAACGTTGATAATGTTCCCATGGTGTCCCACGAAATGTTAATTTTGGTTCTGATTTAAAACCACGATAAAGACATAAAAATTCTACAAAACCTAATTTTTCTTCTAAATACGTTCGTAATGTATTTATTTTAACCGTACGTGTATCACGTTGTTTTGAAACAGTTAATAATATATCAGTTATACTTTCATCCCAAATTGAATTTGTTATTTGTTTACTTGAAGATTCATTTATTGATGATGATGATATCATATCATTTGATAATGAATTTGTTGGTGATGATGATGCTGTTCCACTATCTTCTTCTAGTGTTGTTGTAACAGATAGATTAAGTGGTTGATTAAAAGATGATATTCGTTTTGCTGTGGGTAAAAAATTAGTTGGTGATACATTTCGTTTTCCATTGAGAATCGATGATGATTTATTATTGAGAGTAGTTGTAGTAGTAGTAGTTGTAGATGATGTTGATTGTTTAAAAAGAGTAGCATGTTGTATGGCTTTTTGAAGTATGGGTTCAAGATTTTTACCAGCTGCTGTTGTTTTATACCTATGATAAACGAGAAAAAAAACAATTATAACTTAGATAGATTTTATTTTTTCTTTCTCTCTACCAAATATGATGAGCATTTGTTGAACGTGGTATAAGAAAGAAAGGTGATTGAGGTGTATTGCATTGTGGTGGTCGATGAGTTGCATAAAGACGATAGGCTTGTATTGGACATGTTGAAGAATGATGCGGTGTTGCATAAAGTCTAATGGAGAAAAAAAAGAAACAGAATTTTTTAGGGAAAAAACAAAATTTTCTTCTATCTTTATACTTAAATGATTGATTTTCAATTTTTTGTTGATTACATATAAGATATTGTTCATCAATTAATGAAATATCTCCCCAAAGTAATTGTGTTACAGATAATTTACATAATTTTATTATATGTAAATAAATTTCAAGTAATAAACTATCTGGTTTTGTTCGATCAAATATCGTTAATTTTTTTGTATTTAATAAATTAAATGATGATTGTTTTGATTGATTTAATCCACCTAATTTTTTCCATTCTTCACGTTTATTATTAATAACTTGTCGACATGATTGAAATATTGGTGATTCCATGAGATTATATTGATAATTTTTACTTTTTAAATAACGTTCAATACTTAATAAAAAACTTCTTAATGTATCCGGTTCATATTGTGTACCATCAAATTTTTTTGTATTTTCAAAATAATGTTTTAAATAACGACATAATGAGTCAGCTGATATTGTATGTAAAGACATTTGCTCACCGAATTGTTCATCTATATACATAACAAAACGTTTAACATCATGTTTTGTTTTTCGTATTGTATTATGAGAATTTGTATCGGATGATATTAGAAAAACATTTGGATCAGGTTCATTTAGGTTTGATGATAAAATTTGTTCATTATCACCAGGAATTCGACGAATAGTTGACGAACGAATAGATCGACGATTAGAAGATGTTGATGTTAGTTGTTCCGGTAATAACTGATTATCATCATCAATATCTGATGATTTAATTCTTTCATCTATTGAATGATTATTATTGATATCATCATCAAAATCCATTGATTTTTCTTTTTTTCTTTCGAAAATTGAATAATTCGACTGTTCTTTTTACTGTTTATATTATACCTCTAAATTCTCCTTGCTGTTTATGTTACTACTGCTGATCTGAAGGTAATGTTTGAAGAGTGGTCGTCGATGGCTGAGATGCCATCAACATCTCTTATGTTGATTTATATTTCTATAAGAAAAGAAGAAGAAGAAGAAGAAGAAGTCGAAGAGAAAAAAAATCCTAAAAGAATAAATGAAGAAAGAAAAAGAAAAGTTTATTTTATTCTTTCTCTATTCGAATACTTCATATATATAGACGATTGAAAAACCTATTCGATTTTTGTTTATTTACTGTATATAGACATAATGAATGACGGAATTTTTTTTTAGAGTTTTAATCGATGGGAATATTTCCAATATTAGTAATCGAATAGATGACAAATTTATTATTCTTTATAAAAGAGAAAAAAGAAAATACCAGATTAACCATTTTGTCATCGATAAATCCTTTTCTAAAATGATATAAAAGTATTAACACATGATCTTATCATCAGGTAGTTTGTAAATGAATTCTATTGTATTAAAGATAAGTTCTTTGTAAGAACAAGTAGTCATTATATGATAACTTTGTTTAGAAAGATGAGATTTATTGTTATGATAAGTCATATTCTCAATGTCTTTAATTATCGAAAGAAAAAACTGTACAATAAGAATTTATAATACCGAAAATTTTTATATTGCGATGATGGCTTCTCTCATATAGTGAAAGCCACAGGACTCTAGTTATTTTTTGTTTAAAAAGTTATGCATTAAAAGCAATTAGTGAATAACAAGAGAAATTTATGAGATATATTATAAAATAATGGACATTCTCAATGATTTATTCTTTATTGTGTAAGATTCGATAAATGTATAAAGAAATATTTCAATAACACACTTCACCTTGTTTATTTTAAAAAAAGCAGAATAATATAAAATACACTCACATGTTATGTTTTGATTTTGAACAATTCGTTATTTAATATAATTCAAAAATACATTCTTCTCTCTCTATTTATTCTTTTAAGTAACAACAATATATATATATATATATAGACTAATAGATATTTTATGAACTACTTCATGTACATTAAGAATATTTTTGTATACATTGATATCTTGTTATCTACTAATTTATTTTGAATAAAATGTCTGTTATATAATGATCTTAACCTTGAAGTGAAGGAATTTTTCTTTTCCGAAATAAATTGAGAATTTTTTTATTTTTAAGGACGTGAAAATATTTATATAAGAGAATCGAGAAGAAGTCAGTGATCATATTCATTTTTTTTATTCTTACACAATAAGATGCTTTCAAACAAAAAGAAGATGAGGAAAGATATTATTTTTTTAAGTTTATATAATGATACAGTTGAAAAAACATAGATACGTCATTGAAAGAATAAGAAACGACAAAGAAAATGGTCAAACGAAGAACGAGAGACAGAGTGAAGTGAAGAACATTATGACGTCAATAAAATTATGGATCAATATAAATGTTTATATGCTTGAAGGTACCTTTCTTTTCTCTTTTTTTTCTACTTTTCAAATAAACATGATCTAAATTACCTAACAACAAAGATAAAACTCTTGTTTTTCTCACACAAAAAAAACAATCATAAATCATCAAGAAAGTCCAAAACTATGTTATCCATATCATTTTACAGATTCCACAAGAACTGCAACGTAATATAGTATAAGTAGTTATAATATAGCTGATTTTGGAATAGATATGTCTTTCGTTGAATATGATATCTGAGGTATTTTTCAAATCCAAGTATTTTACTATCATTAAACATTTAAATAAATTCAATAAGTTAGTATTTCTTATAGATATATTGAATTAGATTATTAAACAATCGACCAGTAAGAAGATTAGCTTAATCCTCTAATTTTTGTTGACAACGTTTATGGTTTCAAATAATTAATTATAAAATCAATTTATAATTTTCTGACATCTATATATTCGTTTTTTTTCAATTATAAGCAAAGGTTTGTTGTCATAGAAATCATTGAAGAAAAAAGCATGGTGTTGACATAAGTATAATTCCATATCGTCTTGTCATATGTTCAAAAGAAAAAATCGATAATCAATATTCATATGAATAACAAAATATAATGAATGAAAATAATATGTATGAACAAACAGGTTATTCACAATCATCTCCATATGGTAATAAAGAAGAAGAAAATATGTATAGATATGCTTCAAGTCGTTTAACTGGTCGATCATCACATCCAACTGAGAAATCAGCATCATTGCAAACAGGTACCGTACAAAGTCCGTACACAGTTGAATCAGCAAATGTTGGTACTAATAATAATCATACTCAAGTACCTTATCAACAACAACAAACATCATTCCATGCTCCTTCGATTCATTCTCAAAGTTCAGTATCCTATCAATCTAATCAACATCAACAGAATAGTACATTACAACCAAATCATGGTAAAATTTCTTTTCAAATGTCTTTTTCTTAGTAGAACATCATAACGACAACATTAAATAGTTCGATTGTTTTCTTTTATTTATATGGTTTCTTTTATTTTCGAAAAAAAGAAAAAATTTCAATAGAGTAGAAAAAGTCATAGAATAATATTATTGATCAAAAGAAAAATGAATCCATAAAATGATAATCGATTAACAAAAAGTTTATTTTTCAGCCTTAACAAATGTAGCTAACCGAATAGTAACTAATGCTGAACTCTATCATAATCTTAATTTAATAGATTTTCGACAACAACAATATCTATCTCATCCATCAAATATGGCTAATACTGATATATTTATGCCTTCTTCTGACACGGCCGATCCCGCATCTTATTATAATCAATATGATACAAATAATCAATCGTATCAAAATTCACCTCAAGAACAATATCCAACATATGATCAACAACCTCCTTTATTTCAACAACAAAATACTAATCCATTTATTAATCAACATACTATATCAAATCAACAAACTACTACTAACAATGGCGAACAATACTTCACAGATCCTAATCATAATCAAGGAAGAACAGTACTATCAAATACTCAACAACAAGATCAAGATAATAAGACAAATGGTAAACTACCTGGTCAACAATCATCACAAAAACTTCCTTATCGTCCAGTAACTCTATCAAAACCTAATTATGTCGAAAAAAATATTGGAATGATTAAAAATAAAGAAAATTTTTATCATCGTTATCCAGCTCGAAAATATGAAGAGACCTATGCAAAACGAAAAGATCTTCAAGGTGGAAACAGTTATGACCATGGCAATTCTCAAATACAACTATCAAGTAATAATTCACATCAATTAACGATACCTTTAACATTTCGTTTAAATATAGGTGAAAATACACAAAATGAGTCTATACCTGCAACAGGCAATATTCCATACGGTATGTTTTTATCTATATTTTTAATTTACAAAAAAAAGAGTTGATTTTTCTTAGATAATCATAATGGAGACAATGTTTCAGTAGATATTAATTTACGAGTCGTCGATAGACAAAATTCTCAACAACAACAGCATGGATCTGATCATCCAAATTGGTCTGGTTCAGATGCATTAGAAAGACATATTCGAAAAATGGAACGTAGTCTTGATCAAGTAAGATAAATTATTTCTTATTATGTACTTCTTATTTTTATTTCAGTATTTGCCAACAACACATTTACCTCAACGAAATCCAATATTAATAACTACAAGTCCTAATCTACCAACAGGTCGATACGGAGCAGCAAGAACAGGAATGCTTTATAATGGATATAATCCACCAAACTACGCAAAAGATATTTATAATTATAGTGATAAAGGGCAAGAAGAAGGTAATAATTATATTAAAAATATATTGATTGATGTTTGGTTTTTGTTCTTTAAAGATTCATATTTAGCAAAAATGCATTCGAAAAGACATACAGATTTTAAACCATATTCTACTCGTGATTATGATCGATTTAAAAAGAATTATGGTTTTGGTACTGGTCATCTAGGTTTTGATTCAGAAAATACTACCTATAAAGAAAAAGTATTTAAAAACTTTTGTTTCTTTTTTTTTCGCAAATTTTAATATCATTTATTTTCAATTTATAGACAGAAAAGATGGCTAAAATAAAAGAATATTCACAACAAATTGAAGCCAGAAATAAGAAAATGACATCACAAGCTTCTTATCGTACAACATCTGAAACACGATCTTCAACAGAAGAATTGAAATCATCACGAGTAAGTGATATACGATGCAAAGTTTGGAATTTGTATAATCACCTTTTTGTGTGACTTTCAGTGATAAGATTCTATGATCACTTGTCATTCTCTAGATTATAACGTGACCCAAAGTCCAGAGTCTAGTTATCAATTAAACAAATGAAAAAAAGACGAAATAAACCTTTTGTAAACATATCGAGTTGAAAATGAGAATCGAAATGCTTTTTTTTGTAAATTTGAAGATTTGTTTTCAATTCGACATTGAAAGAAAGAATGTTGACATAAAAAGCAAACGTTTACTTTAATATTCAAGAGTGGTTGAAAGCTATAAAAAAGAACTAGTAGTTTTTTATTAATATTTAAAATAACAATAACTATAATAAAGCGTGACATAAAGATATTCACACGATCTAATTTTAATAATAAAAAAAGAAAAACAAGAATGATAATAATTCTTTTTTTTTCATCTATGCTTAGTTCTTTGAAAGTCCTCAACTATCAAAACGTTCTGTGCGATCCTTGAATAAATCTACTCATTCTTCGCCTGTTTCTATGACTGAATTAGTACCATTACCATCTTCTCGTCGTTCAACTGACGTTTCTAGTAGACCATCACCTGCTCATCGTGCAACTGAAGTTGTTCATCACTTACCATCACCACGTCGTCCAATTGAAAGTATGCCACATTCACCACCATCTCGTCGTGTAACAGAAATTGTTTCTCAATCACCACGACCTCGCCGTAGAACAGACACTATTTCCTATTCGCCACGATCTCGTCGTGGAACGGAAACTGTTTCTAATTCATCTTCAACTCGTCGTCCAGTTAAACTGAATACTCCATCATCATCAGCAGCAAGTCATCCAAGTGAAGTTAATTCTCAACCATCACCTGCTCCAAGACAACGAATAAAAATTCCACAGCATGATGATCATGAAGTTGTTGAAAGTGTTCGTAGACATGAAGACCGGAATATAACTCCAGTACAACGCGTTGTAAATCCACCAAAAAAACGACGAGAACAAAATGATGAAACTGACAGTCAGTATGTTAGTAGTGTTGATAATCCACTATCGAATAGACCAAGTCCACAACGTTTATCACCAGTAAAACTTTCATCTCCGGCTGGTCGTCTAAATAGTGATAGTAGTAGTAAACGACGACCGATACGATTCGATGATGCTCCTTTATCTCCTGATCGAACATTATCATCGTCGCCACAAAAAAATCAACCTGTTCAACATCATAAACGAAAATCAAGTATTGATCAACAATCAGAAACGTCACACACTCAAGAAGATAATATAATGAAAGTAATACGTGATGAATTAAGTGAACGACCATTACAAAAAAATGAAGAATTGGTTATAGTTGCAAAATAACTAATGATAATAACCCTGTGATATTCCGTCTTCCTTGAATTTCTATTCTTTCCATATATATTCATTTCCGAGATCTTTCAATGTTTTCTGCAAATATCTTCTCATCCATATTTGTAAAAACTTTATGTTTTGTTATAAATCGAACGCAACTTTTTCGATACTTTCTTTTTTTTTGCTTTTCTACTGATTTATAACGTAACATATATGGAAATATGTTTTTTTTTGACATTATAAGAATTGAACATATCGTAGAAACTCGTAACTATTTCTTTTTTTGTTTTAATTATTAAATGAAAAACAAGCTAAGAAAGATTGAATACTTAAACAAAATGAAAAATATATAAGAAACTTTGTTAAAAAATCTTTTTAAATATAAACTGAGTTTTTTAAATTCCTATAAGGAAGTTCATTTTCATTACATAAATTTTCTACATAGGATAGTCGTTTAGTTCGTATATTAGCTTTATGTTTAATAATAAGATTACAATCAGCTATAGGAACCAATATTTCATCATTATTATGATTTATTAATGTTGAATTTAATCTTGATATTGTATAAGTTGGTCGAGTACGATCAATTGGTGATATTGATGGTGTACGAATTGAAGGTGATGATGATGTTGATCGAGGATGTGAAAAAGAATTATCTATCAAATTATTTTCTTCAAAATTTTTTCGTATTTCATATGGATTTAAAAATCTATATGATTTAATTCTATCTGAAACATTTGTTAATGAACTTAGAGTTGAATTATTTGTTGTTTCTAGTTGTGATAGACGATTTGTTTTTAATGTTGTTGAAAGAAATTCTTTTGCTCGATTTAATTTTGCTTCAATTTGTTTTTCACGTAATTGTTTCCAATTAACAGTTGGATATTGTAAACGATGATTTGAATTAAGATTTTCTGTTGATATTTTATGATTATTTGGTAATTCACTAGAATCAGAACTAATAGTTGATTCAGGATAACTGTCTTCTGTTGAACTAATAATATTCTGATATTTAGATAAATCACAAGAAGTATAGGATTCTGGTAAAGATTGATCTTCATCAAAATTATATTGAATTTTATTATTGAATGATTTTGATCGATGATCAGCTAATTTACAAAAACATCCATGTCGTCGAATTGTTGCATCAGCTGATATATAATCTGTATATGTATAATCAGTCGTAGGTATGTTTGGTTTATTTGAACGTAAAAGTGTTCGAAATTGTGCAGCAATTTCAAGTGGATTTTGATTGGAATGATTTAGTAATTCAAGATGTTCAAGTGCAGCTGTAGCTACATCAAATTGTGATGTATTACTCATATTAATTTATGTCTAAAAGATAAAATAAAACATCTTTATTTTTTTTTGTCAAAAAAAAAGTAATAAAAATTTTTATCTCATCTTTTATTTCAAAATTATTAGTTGCATCTGTTATGTATTGTAGAAAAAGAAAACCTGTTTAATATAAATATTGGATTACAAAATAATCTACAAAGTAAGTTTTTCTATCGATTAGAAAAAGAAGTCTAAAACAAGGTTGAAATTCTTAACCTTCGTCTTTGAGTCTGAGGAGAGAACTAAAATTGACTGCTGTCATCATTAAATATAAAAAGTATAACCTTGGTAATCAATCAATGCATTAAAAAAGAATGAAAGAGTTGAATTCATACTCATAAATAAAAAGCAAACAATAGGACATGTTCATTGTCAACAGAAAGAAAAATAAACCTTTTTCTTTGTTCTTCGTCTATGTCCATTAGTCTGGACTATACACATTTTACAATCTACGTAGACACATACTTATCTTATTAAAGATGTGTCGAAAAAAAACATACATAGTGGAGAAAAGAAAGAAAGTGAATTACAAATAAAAAAAAAGGACAAAAGGTCGTTGACACTCTAAAGAACAAGTTGAACAATGTATTTTGTAAATGTAAAAGATGATGAGAAATCTATTGAGTAAATATATACAATGAATATTTTACTTTTATATACATATCTTCAAGGATGTTTTTTGCATTAACCAATATAATTGACTTAAAATCATGTATATCAAGTTTCAAGAGATAAGCCAATATACCTTTTTGTAATATTCAATTACTAATTCAGGGACACTTACCACCAATATTATCTTATTCTAACGAAGTGTATATATATATATATATTCTCAGATATTTCTCTATTAACATACAAAATAGGTATGTACATCATAAAAAAGAAAACTACCTGTTTTTATAATGAAAACCTTCTATAGTTAGTTGTATACGATAGATGACTTTTATTTTTTTCTAATATTAATTTAACGTTTATCAACAAGACAAGGCTAATAGATGGTAATAAAGATAAAAAAAACACGTCATAAAATATTCCGCAAGACAAGGTTAATGTCTGATTGTAGAGGACATAAAGACTAGAAATTATATTTTCTTATTGATTCAATAATGAACATTGCAGAAAGAAAGAAAAACAACTGTCTTGTTGATGAGAAAGTTATTCATAAAAAAAATATTGAAGCAAGATCCTGATCCAAATATATAGAACGAACCAGCGAACGAAGAAAGATGTATCTAGGACAAAGAACAGAATAAAAAAAATACGAGGAAAAACGTTCAGCATTTTTCTATCTGGAATGCTTCTACGTCAAGAATGGAGGAGGAAAAAAGAACTAGGAAGACGATGTTGCCGAGACGTCTAGTTGTTCTTGCTCAACACTACGACCACATGCTTCTTCTTCTTCTTCTTTTTTTTTCTTTTGCATTTGTCAACAACGATGATTGAACCAACTACGCATTCATAGAAAAAAAAAACGAGAAAAATATGCAACATTCTTCTTCATCATTGACATTCTAGTGTCTAAGTCATTGAAATGCCTCTATTAAAAAATGCCCAACGTCGTTTAGATGCTCAACGTGAAATAATCAATCATTTTGCCAAAGTATTACCATCTTTCAATGATCTATTCGATGAACGTTCATGGTATATATTTTTTGTATGTTTAACTTTATTTTCATTTCTTATGGCATTCATCCTCAGCCGATTCATTACAATCGATGATGTTGATTATGATTACAAAAATCGAAATCGTCGATCGAATCCATTTTCTAATATACGACGGACTCGATTATTTTAATTATAAACAAAAGAATATATGTATATCTAGTCAAACATTTATTTACAAGCGCAATATCGATTACATAAATAATCTATTTATTTATTATTCTTCTTATTATGTGTTCTTTTGTATGTGTGTTAATGTCGTACAAATTTTCGTTGTTTTTCTTGTAATGATAACCATAAAAAAGATGTGATAAAACAAAGAATTACAAGTAAACAAGCGCATATAAATGAATATGATATGTAAATCGATCGAGATGAACATAAATGATCAGTTAATATTTCTAATCCTAAACAATTTGATTGTTTACGTTCACCTTTTAATATTGTACACATTATAGCAACAATAAATATACTGAACATTGCTAAAAATAAATATTAAAAAAATAAAATAAACAAATTTTTCTATATGCATTTATTTACTTGCGATAAGATAAATTATTCCAACAGTCATTGTAGCTAGAACAATACCATTTAGAAGACCGACAATAAGGCCAATTAGTGTACAAGCAAATAGAAGAAGCATTATTAATATAGCACATGATGCAACAATATTATGTAGACCTAAAATATTTCGATAATTTCAATTTTTTTTTATGAAAATAACTTTATAATGCCAAACTCTTTGATTGTCAATTAGAAGCGGAAATCTGACTTTTTTTTGGGGGCGAGGATTAGAATTTCCGATTCACAATAATCAGAACAAAAGTTAATCTCATAAGAGAAATATAACTGAATTTAAAATCTAAATATTATATCGATTCATAAAATTATAGCTTTTTGTTAAGTATCACTTGAAAATATATCCCATGAGTTTGAATCCGAGAAAACTTTATATTATATATTGAAGCTTTCATTACTGTCTCAAGTATTTAATATTAACTGCTTCCGAATAGAAAATAAGAGTCCCTGATATATGATCTTTAATTTCTTAAAAATAAAAATAAATAAAAGAATACTTACGTAAAAATTCTCTTCCAGGATTAGTCATACCATGAATGATATCACTATATTGATTATTTATAGTTTTTAATATTCGACATTTAGGTATTGTTAAATAAGATCGTACATCTTCTGTTAAATAATTACATTGACGAAATATTCCTTTATGTGTTTTATATACAGTAACATTATTATCAAATCCAAAGACAATTGTTGATAATTGAGAATTTATTCCTGATAAGATTTCTGTTTGATTTGTATTATTTATTATTTGAAAATTACTATTATTTTTCTCTTCAATAACAATCCATTTAGCATAAGAATGTAATTTAACGAAATCATAAACAATTATTGTCCAATAATCAGTTGTAAATGTTAATATACCAAAAAGATTTGTTAATATTGTTGCAAGAACTGATAAAATTTGAAGAGTTAGAAAAGTTGCCATAAAATAGTGAAAAACCGATGTAAATAAACGTTTATTAGTATTTTCTATTACAAACAAAAAAAACTCTGTAATGTGATTCTCAAATAAGCGAATGCGACATGTTTCCTTCGGGAAAACTGAAAAAAAAAGAGAAATGAGAAAACACTACATAGTTTAACTGATTGAAAACGCTTTGGCAATCCATTGAGACACTAGAAAAGCATGCAATGCTTTTTTCTCGATTAAATATTACATGTAAATATATGTTGTTTATTCTATAATAATTATAAGGAAGTGTTTAAAAAATTATAATCTTATTATTAACAAATGAAAAGTAGTTTCTTATTCTAACTAAATAAATAATAAATTAGCTTTACTTTAAATAATTATGTATTTTAAGTAAAGTAAATCTTATTATTCTTTCTGCGAAGATCTACTGTCTGTTTATTCTTGTATAATAAAAGCAGAGGTTATGCTTCGAAGTATCCATGTAACAATTTCTCTCTTCATTTAATTAAACTCAAGAACTCTATAGTATTACCTTGGTAAAATATATATATAAATATCTTTGAAAACAATTCATACTAACTTCCGAGTAACTCAAAGACATGTAGATCGATCATCTATTGAGAAATATTACATTGTATGAATTTTATTCAAATAAATAAGTGGATAAGAATACAAAATGATGGAACATTAGATTAATGATTATTGACAGAGAATGAATTTTAATACTCAATTATTTTTGTAAATTAATAATAAAGATAAACTATGTTATATTAATATTTGTACTAGGATTTATTTGATTAATCGATATATCTATAGAAAAAAAACAAAATGAAATGTGTCTCTATCATTAATTATCTTATTGTTAATTGCATTTTATAATCGAGAAAACTTATCTCTCATGAGACGTAAACAATAGACAAAAATGAAATATTGTCTTTTTCTATAGTCTTAGTTTGATATAATATTCTTTGGATAAATCATTTCAAGTTCTTTCATTACTGTAATAAAACGTGGAACTGCTAAAGGTAACATCGATTGTAATAATTTATGTTGTTGTGTTCTATAAAGCGATAATACTAATTGAATATCTTTCTTATATTCATCTTTCATTCGTTTGGCATATACATTAATTAATTGATCTTGAAGAATAGTTTTGTATGTGGTAACTTCTTTCAAGACATCTGTTGAGTCTGTATTATTAAATGAATCAGATCTCCAAATTGTTACACTACCTATTACTTGTGCTATTGTTCCAAAGCAAGAATTCATTAAAGTAAGAGATTTTTTTTTGTCGAGAAGATGTACAAGTATATGAGGTAATTGTTCATCAACTATCATATTTCTTGGATCAATCGAAATAATGAATTCACTATCATTCATAATTGTTGGTTGATTAGTTATATTTTTTTCAGATAATAAAAGCCAATCTGCAGATAGATTAGTTATTGATTTCAATAATTTTAATAACATATCATGATTATGATGAAATAATTTTAAATTTTGTACTTGAACTTCAATACGAGCTAATGGATGATGAACAGCACAATGTAAAGCAAATGGAATAATAGCACTTTCTTGTTCAAATGATGATGTTGTTAAAAAGAATTTAAATGATCGAGTAGAAAAATATGAAGGAATATCATCATGAAGAAAACGTCGAGGTAAATCTAATGTTAATTGTTTTAATGCATGCCATTTTGGTAATAAACTTTCATAGTTAATTAAACAATCTAAAAAAACATGAATTTAGTTTTAAATTTTACATATACAATTTAAAAATGATTTACTTTTAATAACTTCATACATGTGTGTTTCATTTCTTGTATCTAATTTAAATTCATCTGGAATAGGAAAATCAGTTGGATCCATTCCATTTAATGAATTAGCTACGAGAACAATTGCATCGAATAAAGCTCCTTCATTATTAATACGTTCAACACCAGCTATACCTAAATCAATAACTATCTTAGCTCGCTGTAACCAAGATGGTACATCAAGGAATGGTATTTTTTCAAGAACTTTGAATTGAACTCGCGGTTGAACTGAAAGATATAAAAGAGTCTGTAGTAAACTTTGAGGAAAATTTGAATCATTATCAATAATAATAAGATTTTCTTTTAATTTTAGATGTTTGTAAATATCAGTTTTATTATCGACAGTATTGAAGTTTTTCATATTATTTTTCTGAGTATCATACATATGACGTTCGAGTGGTGAAAAAAGAACTTGTTTTCCTGTTGCTAAATAAAGATCACGAGTATAAGTACTTGATGGTGCCCATATAACATTAGTAGAATGTTGTTCAACAAGAGGTGAATTCACGCCAAGTAAATAAACAACAATACGAGCACCCGATGATCGCCATAAAGGAAGTTTCTCTAAATAGGCATTTTCAGGAACTATAACAATATCTTTAGATGATACATTAAAATTTGCACTAATATATCGGGAACAACTTGAAGTAATTGATGAAGGACTTGGTATATGCATGAATGAATTGAAACCAGCAGTAACAAGTGCACAATGAAGATAATTTAAAGCGCCAGGACCGCCATGGGGATATAATCCGAGATGATAAATAATTATACGACCATATGAATAAAGTGATGGATGAATTTGTAGTTTTAAATTACTTTTGACTTGTTCCGAAATAGAACTTGTAAACGAATTTTTACTTTGTGGAAATATGACAGTTGGAATGTTTTGATATATTGTATAGATTACTATAAAAGGAATCAGAGTGCAACAACATATTAATCGAGGACGATAATAGTGATAGGTATATGAACATAATGCTAATATAACAGATCGAAGTTTCATTTTCTTTATTTCTATAAACTCGACAAGGGAACAACTGTTTAACTTATGTATTAAGCTACTTACAATTTTGTGTACCATTTAGAATTTTTGTTGAATTGTTAAATTTTTGCATTTAAAACAATTTTACAGAAAGAAATTAAAAAAAAACGTGATTATAAAGTAAATATTGCATTGTATAGAACACAGAATGAAAAAAAGACATCTACTCAATGTTAAACAGATTGCTAAATTATAAAAATTAAATACAACCATTTTTATTTAGTTGTCATGTGGATTTACGAACCAATAGAAGACTTACGTAAAGATTCGTGAGGATGTGGGTTTGAGTAAATGAAACATCCTCAAGATGATATCTAAATGAATGATATCATTAACTATTTATTCAGATATTTTATGCAATCCGATGAAATCTTTTAAAAAATCAAAACATTTCTAGCGTCGGATTGAGAAATTCATTTGATTCATAAAACATATACCCAATTCTTTCTTTCTGTACATCTCGGGACTTTTCGGTCGATTTTATTACGGAAAATAAATATATATATATATATATATAAAGCATACAACAGACAGACAAGAAGAACTGAATAAAGTTGATTTAGTTTCTTCTAATCTTTATCACTTAGTCTGATAGATACATCAACTATTGTATAATATTTCATAATGAGTCTCTATTATCTCTAATTGATAATATGTTGTTATTTTAATTGATGATCATCCACAACGAGCTATAGGTAAGTATTGAATGCCTTTTATATTTATTATAATAGTCATGTCATTGAAACTGAACGGACTGATTACGGAGTAGTACGCCTTAGAATACGAATAAACGATTGTTTAAACGCTTTCATATACAATTTTGAAGGAAAGACAAAGATCAGAAACATCAACATCGAAGGAGTAAACGAAATGAAATATGGTCCAAGATACAACCACAGGTTCTCAGATGTTTTCACACAACCAGGAAGCAATGAAATTATCAGACGAGGTATTGATAAAACGAGTAAAACTGTTGGACTAATGATCAATTGTTTATGTTCACTGAATTGTTGTTGAGCATGTTCTTTAAAATTTTGGTTAGTTCGTGCTACTGATCGTTGTCGAGCACCTCCAAAGATGATGAACAACGCAGAGAAAAGATTAACAATAAATGGACCAACAAGATGAATAAACAGAACGGCTGTATTGTAATCTTGGACAGAAGGAGAATATCGAGTAATGCATGATACATATAACTTGATTGTGTCTCTATTAGTCTTATTCGTATCTGTCGTATCTGGTGCTAATTCATATTCGAACAATCTGCGAAATACGAACTCGTGAATCAGAGTACCAAAAATAAAGAATGGTAAAATAAGAATTGTTCGTCGAGCAATAGATTTACTCTTTGTTTTATCAAAGTTTACTCCTTTAAAAATAAGTACTGCCCGTTCAACTGCTACACAAGCATTAAGCCAACCGTCCAAATAGAGAAAAAGCTTTAGAATCGGTTCAATAGATGCACAACCTCCACGAAGAACAAAGAGACTAGTGGACACATTGATGTGAGTAAGAACAACAAACCAGAATTTAATTATGAACATACTAATTGTCAAAAGAGAAGTAATCGATGATGTCAGTAGATACGTTCCACATCCAACTTGTTGAGAATCTTTACTTTGAAATGTAATAAACGAAAGAATACTATTAATTAATCCTGAGGTGAACATAATTATTGTTAAACCCGCACTTAGTTTAATCGAAAATGACTGATTATTCAACAGTGCGCTCGGTTGAAGTTCATCACGTAAAATATCATCGAGAGTCAAACCAATCCCTTTGATATGAAAATTACATTGATCACCGATCACACAACTACTTTCTTCTGGACCTAAAATATTGAATATATTTTGAAAAGAGAATAATGAAGAAATTCAGTTTCAGCAATTTACTTGTTTCTCTAATGAAAAGTTTTTTCAATGTATTGAGACATGTGCATCTTTCATTATTGATTTCGAGAAATAGAAAAAATTATGGAAAGAACTTTTACTTTTGCAAAATTTTGAGTCTTCGAAAACTTCATATCCATAAAAACTTAAAGGGCTATAAGTAGCAACATTCGAAATATGGAAAATCTATCTACAATTTACGTTAAACAGATGTCTTTTCTAACAGATCAATTAGCTCAAAGATTCTGAAAACTATTTAATTTAATAAATCGATCGATCTTTGTTTCAAAAACGAAAAGAACAATTGCTCACTAGTAAAAAAATGCAAGAAATCTTCTTTTCACGTGTTTTATCCCATTATATATTTGTTATCGAAAGGATTATATAAAAACTTACTGAAAGGACTAAGGCTGACGTTGTTTGGACCAGAGATAAAAACAGAAAAGTTTCCGATTGTCTTAGGAACGCGTGTTGTCACAACTAATATGTATCGAGTGTTGATGTCAAGATCAATGATTAGTTTGAATTGTTCATCATTACATTTACCTCCATGTGATAGAAGTAAATTTTCAGATGGCTTTAGAGGATTGAAATCATTTTTGTAGATATATCCATATGCATTTATATTACTGTCACTCCAAAGAACATATAAACCTGTTGTATTAACATAAATTTGTAAAGTTTCATAATGGCATTGAGGTACTTGACAATCTCGATAATATGTTGGGCTATCATGAGTTAATTCTAATGAATATTTTAATTGAATATTTACTGGAGTACCTGTTCAATAAAAAAAGGCAACTAATTCATAGAATTTCGATACTGCTACAAATTTCTGTCTTTCACATTCCAGTCAGTAAATATTTATCGACTAATAAAAAACAGATATAGTTGGGCAACGATTCGTTCATAAAACTATTATCTAACAACGATGAAAGCGAAATCTTTGAGATTTTCAATGAATGTTTAGCTTTGAAAACAGAGATTAGTAAATGTACCAAATTCACATTCTCCAAGTGAGTATTTTAACATGAGTATGCCACAGAAATCTAAAAGTATTGAGCTACAGCAAGATACTCTTTAGATTTTCAGCGTTTGACTGTCAAATATTTCTAAACATCTCATTGACTATTCTTTTTAGAACATTTTTCATTCAGTATTTATGGAAACTGAACATTTTTCATTTACTAAGATAGTGGCAGATAAACAGAAGGATAGGTATCCTACTAGAAAATATTTTAATATTAGATAGCATAAATTCAGTGGATTCTCTAGATACAGAGTAAAAGATGAAATTGAATTTATAAGCCATACTGTATATTTTGTACGAACTATTTAATATATAACATAAATATATATGTACTTACTAAGACGTTCGAGAATGACTTTATTTTTACCAAATATAAGGATCGAGAATTTTCCAGTTTCTTTTGAATCATATGTTGTCACAACCAATACATATATCATGTCAACATCAAGATGAATATCAAATTTAAACTGAATATCAGAGCTACGATCATAATCTTGATCGAGTAAATTCTCCGATGGATCAAATGGATTAAATTTGTTTTTGTAAATAGATCCATACGGATCGATGTCACCACGACCACGAAAATTGTAGTAACCACTTTCGATTACGTTCACTTGAATAGATTCATAATAAAAATTTTGTTTGTTACAATCGCGGTAATAAATTTGATTATTGTTAGTTAATGATGATGAATAGGTCTTTTGGAGAACCGAGGAAGTATTGACTAAATGGACAATAAAATCAATTGAAGTTTATCGTGAATGCACAGAGATGCAAGTCTTTCGGAATAGGAACTTTTGTTTACTTTAAATATATGTCCCTAATCTATTGAATTGATAATCTGTGTTCTAAAGGATAAAACATTGTTTCTCAACCGTAAAGCATTTAAATTCATTGTGTAATATTGTTTATTTTTCGATATTTTGAAAAGAGAAAATATTATGCAAGTCGAACAGTGCCAAAGAAATCTAATCAAATTCTTTCATAGACATTCACAGAACAATGTTTGACTTTTATATGAAACTTACAAATTCGATACAAAATTTGACCAAGAGAGAAAATTCTAGATCATTAGATTTAACTGCGAGTTTTTTTAACAATTAATCAAATAGAACATAATATTGTTCACGTCAATCAGATAGTTTTTACAAAGCATCTAAGAAATTCTGTTTTATTCTTTTAACAACAATCAAAACCTATAATCATTCGTCAATAAAATATTGTTTGGTGAAGATTTTCTCACTAGAATTAGTTTCAATCAAAATATTTGACGATTCTTCTGATGAGATAATTATCTTCAGACATTAAGGGTGAGGATGTTTACTACATGAATATCTATAGCCAATTGAAATTTCATATCTTTAATGAGTTTATTTGATTTTAAGTAAAATTCTTTTTTGTGATAAGAAAAGTTTCATGTACAGTTTTTTCCTTTTGCTTTTAACTTTAGTTTCTTCTAACGAAAACTGTACAGCTTTTCGCTATCAACATTCACATCTCATCATCTCATTCGATTATAGTTCAACTTACCACAATATCTGTTTAAATATTTAAATTTTTGAATTCGACGATTTGATGTATCAATAACAAACATGTTTCCAGAACGATCAAAACTCAAACCAGATGGATAGTTTAATTGATTGGATTGTGAACCCTTACCATAACATCCAACTAAACATCGAAAACCATTCAAGCCTGAACCAACAATGCGATGATTGCGGTGATCCACAATGAATAAATATTTTTCATCATCTAATACGATTCCACTAGGACACTCAAGTGTAATTGTTGGATTTAGTGATGTACTTCCAGCCACTGTGGTACCATTTGATTCTCCCGGCTGGAACAACTGAACACGATGATTTCCACAATCTGCTACATATAAATCCAAATTTACATCCACAAAAATTCCCTCAGGACTATCGAGTTGATTCGAGGCTAATCCATCAATACCTGTTCCAGCAGCAACATTATTTGAAACTATCAAAGGATCATTCAACGATCTTTTCACTACTTGATGATGAAAAGCCATTGAACAATAAAGAGTATCATTGATATCGACAAACAAACCATAACATGTTGAGTTGACATTCATCACTATGACAAACATATTTGTTTCTGCACTCCATCTCTGTACTCCACGATTGTTAATACCATCATCAATATAAATATCACCACTTAATGTCACGAAGAGAGATTGGGATTCTGTAAAATTACCAGAAATGATCTTTGTTGGATTTACACTCTCTTCTTGCCACATTACAATTGTATTATTTTCTTTACCAATGACATAGATTGTGTTGTTTGTATTCACGAAAATGGCGCGAAGATATTGCCCAACAATCGACTGATTATCAAAGGTAATTCCAGTGGGATTCCAAGTGGCAGTTGGACAAAACTTTGGTTGATTGAATGAAAGAGCTGAAAATGAGAAAAATAGAAAGAATATAAGAGGAGAACTGTAAACGAAATGACACCGTTAATTTATATATCCGTAGAAGAAAAATAAAGTTTCTTCAAAGAAGTTTTTGATGAAAAAGATATTTAGGAATGATTTTTATTAATTTCGACATGAAGTGTAAATTGTGATATTGTTAAAATATTTTTGTTTATCTTTTGTTGAAAAATCCTTTGAAAGGTCTCAATAAATTGTATTAAAAAAATTCATGAATCAAACATATCTTTATAAGAAAATTCATCTTATAATACTTCACATTGAAATTTATCTTCTTCAAAGAGAAACAAAGACTAAATTCATTTTGTACAAAAAAGAAAGAAAAATTAGTTGTTAGAATTGCGATATTCCGTTTGTCTTATTTTTCTCGAATCAAACATATCGAAATATTAAATATGAAGTCAAATCATAAAATATTGTATATTAGAGCTACATCGACAAAGATATGAAAAGATTTTACTTCGATAAAAATTATTCCATTGATGAAATATTCTTTGAGACATATGAAATAAAACATGACAGCCTTTTCTACCACTCCTTTAAGGATAGAATTTTTTCTTTCTCTATTTTTTAATCTCAACAAAAAGATGAACATTGCTTATCTTACATAATTGCCACACGAGTCTATCTGATCTAAATATTTTATTTCCTTAGAATCATTCTTTTACACATTGGTATTATTTATCTTTACTTCTTAAACAAAAGCTTTCTCAACCATTTTTGTTTTCTTTCGTTTTTTCTATTAAAATATCTTTATTTACTTATGTTACTTATCTATTCATATCTGTTCATCTCATTCGATTATGTTGCAACTTACCAAAAGTATCATTCATCAATAGAAATTTTTGAATTCGACCATTATATAAATCAGCAACAAACATGTTTCCAGAACGATCAAAACTCAAACCAGATGGAAAATTCAATTGATTGGATTGTGAACCCTTGCCATAACATCCAACTAAACATCGAAAACCACTCAAGTCTGAGCCAACAATGCGATGATTCTTTCTATCCACGATGAATAAATATTTCTCTGCATCTAATATAATTCCAGCAGGATAGTTAAGTTCAATTGTTTGACGCAGTGATCCACTTCCAGCCACTGTAATGCCATTTGATTCTCCTGACGGGAACAACTGAACACGGTTATTTCCACAATCTGCCACATACAAGTCCAAATTCACATCCACAAAAATCCCCATAGCACTAGAAAGTTCATTCGACTCCACTCCTGAAATACCTGTTCCAGCAGCAACACGGTTTGGAGTCATGTTAGAATCATTCAACGATCTTTTCACTACTTGATGATGTTCAGCTATTGAACAGTAAAGAATATCATTGATATCGACAAACAAACCATAACATGCTGATTTGATATTCATTACCGTGACAAAGTTTTTTGTTTCAACTATCCATTTCTGCACTCGACCATTATACGCACCGTCATCGATGTAAATGTCACCACTTAATGTTATGAAGAGAGACCGAGGTTCTGTAAAATTTCCGAAAATCACCTTCGTTGAATCGATACTCTCTTCTTGCCAGATTACAATTGTATTATTATTTTTATCAGCGGCATAGATTGTGTTGTTTGTATTCACAAAAATGGCGCGAGGAAATTGACCTGCAATTGATCGATTAACAACAGTGATTCCATTGGAATTCCAAGTGGCAGCTGGAGAAAACTTTGGTTGGTTGATTGCAAGAGCTGAAAATAAGAAAAATAAAAAGAATATTAGGCGAGAACTGTAAACGAGATAAAATTGTTAGTTTATGTTTTTTCTTGAAAAAATTTATTGAGATCAATTCTGAAAAGATTTCTATGATCGTTGTTGTATTTTCTCAGATGATTTGTAAATATCAACTAAGAAAGGGATGAATTCATCGAAGAAGATCCACTCTATATATTGATTTGTTTTGTTGTAAGAGAGAGAGAGAAGGAAATTCTCTTGTTAATCTTTCATTAAATAACCATTCGAAGAAATTATTTAAGAAAAATATTCTTTTTTTTTCTTATCAATAATATATTTTTGTTTCTTTTTAAATTCTCATCAAACTAAACAAAACCAATTTCCTTTAACTTTTTTGTCAAATAATAATTAAATTTAATCAAACTTTTCCTCTTCTTTGTTTTCCTCTCATTATTTCAACTTGAATATTTTGAGAAAAACTTACATGTATTTGATCTTTGATTCAAATATTGTCTTACGTAATAAAAATATTCTCTTAATGATAGTCTAGTGATAAGAATGGTAGTGTCAGTCACGAATTTGCACTTCCAAAATAGTTCCACATTATCGTATGATTTGGGCTCTTTCTTTCTAGCAGATGTATTCATTTCTACAGCTTAAAAATTAATATTTTTCCACACGTAATCCTATCCCGAAAGTGTCGATAAAAAATATCTATCATTTCATTGATCAATCGAGTTCATTTCTACGAGATAATTTTATGAGCTCTGAAAAAGATTCTTTCCTTTTATGCAATTCAAAAACTTCAAATTCTTTTCATTTTCTATAAGAGTAAATAATGTATATATATATATAGAAATGGATGATCAACTGACTTGGTACCTCACTTCTATTTTTAGACAAAACACTCTTTGAGTACATCAAATACAATATAACTATTTTATCAATTACAGTTATTTTTATATAGTGGATCTGCATCTTATCTCAAACCAAAATAGTCAAATAATTTCACAAAACTTTGTTTTCATCTACATTAACCTATTGATTTTTTCTTATTTTGATTTTGATTTCATTCGAAGAAGTCAATTAATTCTCTTTTTTTCATATGTTATAATGCGATGTGATAATCATACAATTTCAGCGCAGTTTAACAGTAAAATGAATCGTTGTAGAGAGACGAATTCTCTGAATGAGCTAGGGTGGAGTCTAGAAGAGATGTGAGCCATCACTTTTGGATATATAACAAATATTCCTGTCAGATTTTATAATCTATTATTTCATTCCCTTTTGTTCAATTAAAACTCCTACGAATAGTGTCATTTTTATGCGATGGCTGATCTTCAGTATGTGATAGATAAAATAATTTACCTGATGTTTCATTTTTGAGAATGAACCGAAGAATAATGATAAATACGTAGATATTCCACATCATTCAACAGGACTTTCTTTTGATAAATTAGTTAACTAATAAAATAATCTTCTTCTTTGTCTTCTTTGTCTTTGATGAAAATAAAATAATACTCACTGTAGATTTTCTCTCTAGTAATATATATATATATCTCTCTCGTTCTTTCATTCATTTCTTGCAAGATAACACAAAGAGAAAAACTAGTGTTCTAGACAAGGTTTCGTCGTAGATAAGACAAATAATTGATTTTTGATTGGATGAATTTAAACTCGATATGATCCTTTTCTATTTTTGATTTTATAGAAAAATTTTTGGGTTTATTGAAGAAGAACGTGATAAAGAGAAAGAAGAATTAATCAAAATCGAGGGTAATCATCGGACGTGTTTTAACTGAATATAAGATATCAACTATCATCGTCAATAAATGATTGACGTCAATGAATAAGTCATGATTAGTTTTATGTCTTTTTTTATTTGACTCTGTTAAATAATCTGCTTTGTCAGAACTCACTTTTAATCACGTTCTTTATTTCTCTATGCGTAATAAGTATTTTGTGAAAAACTTTCTTCTTTGAGTATTTCGATCTGTTTTAGAATAAAAAATTGTCTAATATTCCTTACAATCTGACATTGGTGAGTTCTCAACAATGATGAACATGTTTGATTCAAATTCATTTTAAGGGTGTGGATGAACGATGACTATACTTTACACATCTTTGCTCATGCACACACACTCACACCCTTCATTATATACAAGATATTCTTAACTAATTTGAAAAATATTTATATTTTATCTTATGAAAAATAGGGTGTGCGAATTACTCAGCGACACTTCCTGAGGTAAAATTTTGGTTTGAAAATTACCCTATCACCTTCTCCTAGTCGAAAGGGTATTCGGTGCAAACTTCCATTGCATTTGCTATGTTTCAACAAAAATAATTTCTTTGTCAGATTTTTATTTATTACACATGATCTTTTTCAACCAAACAGAAATTTTATTTTTTTACAACAATAAACAAAAAAACAATTTTTCTTCTATCTAACACTTGATTTGTTTTCTCTTTCACTCAAATAAATAACATATTTTTGCATTAGGAAAATATTCCTCTAAAGAATTGCAACGGCTTTCTCGATCGCATAAATGTAGTTTACTTATTTTACCACAATTAGTTCGAGTAGCATCTCTACTGAAATTATATGTTACTCGTTGTAAAGATTCATAACTGACAAAAAGAATAAGATTATTTTGAAAATACGTTTTGGCATCAAGAAGAAATTCTTCTGTATAATCATCATGAACAGTATTAATAGAAAGTTTGTATAGAGAAGTGTATTCAATAAGTGATAAATTTTGAGTATCGCTGTTTGATTGATAAGATTGCTTTCGGTTTTGTGCTGTATCATTGTCCAAAAATAATTCTTCCATAAATGGAAATGACTTTTGAATTCGAAGAAAAAATTCATGTTCAAAAGGACGTTCATCAAACAATGACACTGTACGAACATGTTCAAATAATCCACCTGGAAAACTATTTGAAATACCCGTATAATATCGCATGAGAAATGGATATGAGTAAATATGACATCGACTCCGTTCAAAATCTGGAAAAACATCCACATAAGAAATGATATTATTATTTGGAAAGTCAATGAATGTCTTTTGAATATCTTCTGTCGACGGAATACTTATTCCATTACTAATATAATTGAATGATTGAATAAAAAATGTAAATTGATTTAATCGTGGCATGTGTTTGAGAATTTTTGTCTTTAAATGTTT